AGTATGCAAGGATGAGGATTCGTAAAGTTCTAGGATTAGCACTTGATAGGATTAATTTGCACACTGATGCAAAAAATAAGAATGGGGATTTACTATTTGCAAAATTAAAATGTTGGTAATAGATTGTGTAAATTTGCGATTTTGCAAGTAGACTTAGGACGGTCCTGTTTGAGCGTAAATAAACTAAAAAAAACCGATTAAAAAAACTTAGTAAACACCTGCCTTTCACTATCCCACAATAATTCGATCCCGTACGAATAGTGAAAGTATTTTAGCAGTGCGAAACAAATCGCATTACGTACAATTTAAATCCATTACATTGACATACCGACGAATCTCGAAAAAAATAAATAATTTATTCCAAAAAAAAAATCCATTTTACGAGATAACCGTTCTTGTACAAGCCATAGCCGATATCCATCTCTAACGTTTAAAGGTTTTTACGCCGACCCGATGCCAGTTTCTTTTCCCTAGTCGTCTCGCGACGTTCTCGCGAATTAAAACGTTTTCCGATTATTTGCGCCGAGTTTCTCGCCCCTATTCGCAATTGCAAATCGACTAAACATGTTCGGCGGCGATAGAGTGTCGCGCGCGAAGGTGTCCATCGTGTGTAATAGTTTTCCATCGGGCCGGACAGGTCCGGCTCGAGCGCGATGTGATCGCACCCTTTCGGCCTAGAGAAGAGCAACAATTGGGGAATTTGCGGTGAACGCGCGGGTGCCGGCCGCGTCCGGGCCGTGGATCAAATGGTCTGTTTATATTCGCTAATAAAATATAGGAATGTTATTTGTTTTTTTGTCAAGGTCGAAACGCGCGCGGTGTGGAATTATCCGGCGTATTTAACACCCTGTGTATTGTTTGGAGCGGGAGTTTTGTGTGGAAAATTAGGTGCATCGTACGTAATCGATGGAATTATCGTAAATTTCGATAACAGTAGGTCGTATGCAAACTGGGAAATGTTCGGTGTATTTGAAAAATGTTTAGTTGTATGCACACAACATTATTTCGCGTTGATTAACGTACTGATAAAGAATTCGTCGTTTTATAATTAACGTGGAAAGATGACGGAATTTTTATATGTAAATATATTCGACTAGCGAACGTGCTTGTTATTGTTTTGATTTTTATTTAATCTCTCTAATTATATCTTTTGTACATACTTATTTACGTCTCTTCAATTTTCGTTTAGTGCTTATTATTGGTAATTTTTTGCGAAAATACGATGTGTCTCAGTAGGACACACTGTACAAATCGTATTGTTTACGAATATTTATGTTCATTTTACCTTATCACGTAGTATAAGTAAGTACATGCACCTATACGAAATAAGTTCAAGGTATTAAATTATAAGCATTTTCGTCGATAAGATTAAGATAAACGCTCTGTATATACGTATATGTATATTCTTGCGCCATGTTGCCGACGATTTCCTTTCGGTTGAATAACAAATGAGGTCGCGAATCTATTTGTCAACAAATCAGAATGAACCCGCAACATTCTAATCACGAAAAAGGTCAATTTTGAAGGAGATGATTATTCAGTCGGGTATTTTGATTCTGCATGAATATTTGGAATTCTCGCGCGACTTTCACTTTGCCATCCACTCCGACAATTAATTTTTAATTTTACCGCGTTATTTTTACTCGAGCAACTAGCAGTAAAATGTTAGTTGGAAACGCTTAAGAAATCTTATACGAATCGTACATTTGAAGCGCAATTCGCGTGCAATTAGCCGATACTTTTTAGTATTTTCGCCGATTATAAATTTGATCCGATTATTGACTAAAATTGACTCATCGAAACGTTTGTCAATGAAAGTAAAACTTGCAGCGGTAAAATAATAACCTTGTTAGTAGACGATCGTCGAATAAATCGATTATAATTAATATTATTAATTCGTCCTCGTTTGGTCGTTTTGTTTTTGAATAAGGCGGGGATAAATTCCACTTTTCCGATTTGTAGGTATGAAATATCGATGTGGTTACCTTTTTTTGTGATTTTTAATCGCCGCAAATTCACAGGATTATATTGGAAAAGTACACGCATTCCGTGTATTCTCCGTTTCTCGAGAGCACCTTGAAACTTGTTAAAGAGAGGTAGGAAGGTCTGTGAAATACGATTGATTCTTTTCAAGCAGGTAGAAAAATGTAAAATCGTTTTGTATACCATTATGTTTCTTTTACTTCGACTTTACTGTTCCTATAATACTCGGAAATTTCAACAATATTGCACTTGCGCTTTGAAAAAAATACTCAACTTATATAAAAATTATAAACTTACGCCGTGAATTTTAATCTTATAGTCCGGCGAACTTTTGCCGAATTTCACAAATGAAATACGAAAGTGGAGTAAAAATTTATTGTAGGGAAAACTGAAAACTTATTTGTCGAGGAAGTCATAAGCAAGCACCGCGAAACTTTGGGAATGTGGCATATTGGTAAGTTTAAAAAGTTTTCTGGGTGTAGAGGGAGGGAAGCAGAGAGGAAGAGACATTTCCAGCGGGGAATTTATTTTCGTGGAATTTCCATAGAGCCGAAGCGAATTTGGATTTTTCCGGCGACAAAGCGGGATTCGCCTTTTTTCGCGTTTGAATAAGTAATACCGAAATAAAACGTGAGGTTTTTAATTACTTACCGAGTCGGGGAAGTTTACGATCATAAATAACGGCTCGCCGGTTGCGGAATTAACTTACTGGTGCTGGTTCTTTTCTGACGGAAAAGATGCACTTATTGGTAGGAAAATTCATTTGAATTTTACGACGCCAATATTTATAGCTCGTCGAAGAAAACGACGTTAAAATGCCGAACTTTCTGCGGTATTTTTATCTGTTCCGTTTTCACGAGTATTTTTAATTTGTTAGGTTAGTTTTCATGGCGATTTTTTGCCGTATTGGTGCATCCGCCATATTTTATTATGACCTCAATTTACAGTTAATGTTTATTATAGGCAATTTAATGACTTCACGAAGCGCCTTTTGTACTTTTTATTGAATTTCGAAACTCGATAAATACCTACATCGATTCAATGAAATATTATTCGAAATGAGCAAGGAAAAAGAGGAAATATCCCGCATTTATGGCGTGGCTGAATAACTTGTCTCGATTTTCCTCTTTAAAAGGATTTCATAACAATGCAGCTACATAAATTATACATCTTTCCTTGCTTTTTACATTTATAAGGGCCTGTGCTGCTCTCGAAACCTTGACCCGAGCCGCAGAAATGAAGTCATCCCATTTTTGCTTATTTCTTTTCGAAAATTTTACCACTTCATTCGCTTAAGGAATTTACTAATTTAATAATTTATTAATACCAGTGCATCAATGTTAATATAGCGTTTTATTTTGTGGACTGGCATTAGATATAATTTATGCGTTTATGCAAATCCACACCTGAACTGGAAACCGCGCTACCAAATATATCGAAACTGAATAATATTTAAATTCCGATTAATTTTCAATGTCACCTCGCACAATGCATTTTCTACATTGCTAATGCTATCTTCGCCTCACAAATATTGTAAATAACATTTGTACAATATTTTTTTATCGACGCCATTAAAAAACCATTTAATGCGTCAAAATGAATCGCAAAAGCGCAACTTTCTACACGGAATAAAATTTTATCGGTCTAGTTTTATATGCACTAGATGGTTTATTTTATGGAGTGCGCCTTGAACTTATACAGCATGTCCCGTTGATAAACCTACAGGCCGTGGTAAATTGGACGCAGAATTTTTTACCTGTAAGACCTTAAAATGAATGAAATTGAAAGATTTTGGCGTACAGTAGAGTAGAGGAGATTCGGAGTGCAGGAGTAGATTCAGAGTACAGTGGATTTATATTAGAGTAGATTCAGAGTAGGTTAGTAGATTCAAAGTAGAGAAGATTTAGAGAAGTTTATATTTAGAGTAGAGTAGATTAGATTCAGATTAGAATAGGGTATGGTAGAGTAGATTCAGAATAGATATTTCAGTAGAGTTTCTTCACTAGACTTTCCCATTCCCCGTAATCCAAATACTGATGTCAATCAGTGAGTGAGTTAGTGACCATTCCAGCTTTATTATTATAAAAAAAGCGCATTTTTACCCGTTCGTGACCACCCTGTATAGAAAAATAATGGACCAAATGTCGTGTTGCCGGAGCGGTATATAAGGCTTATGTCACATACATTGTTTCGCCTGCGAACGATCGACTCGGATTTTATGCATTTACAGAGGCCACCTAGTTAATAAGCGTTCTACTCGAGTGAATCAAAAGCAAACAGCCGAGCATGTACGAGTAAATAATTTTAGAAATTCTCGGTAGCGATTTTATCGACTCGGTTCGAGATTCGTCGCGAATTCTCGACCCCGAAACTTTTTCTCTCGTTGTCTTTGTTTGCGATCAATTAAACGCCGGTTAATGTATGCACGCAAGTGTGCACACACATATGCATTAATAGTATAACGTAAAGAGTATTGTGTTTCTATGTCGTTTTTTTTCCCTTCGTTGCTTATTCGCTTAAGTTATAAGAGATATATTTTAATTGATTAAGTATGCCGTGAATCGATGGAAGTAATTATTATTAAAACTGGTGATATTAATAATTTATTGTTGTTTTAAAAAGAAACTTATTTTTATCGTTATTTTAAAATTTAACCATAAATACATGAGTGTGGGTAAAACCCGTAAAATTAGATGCGAAAATTACTGTTTCTTCGAATTAACATCATGAATAGTCCGTGTATGTTTAGACAGCGATTAATTTCGAAATATTTCCCCATAAAAATGCGCCGCTCTGGAAAACTACCTTATGGGAATCCTATAGGCTATTTATAAACGTGATAATTGGGTACATTCGCTCCGTATTAGAGACATATACAGGGTCTTCGTACGCTTTATTCGAGCCGCTCGTGTAAGTTTATTTGCCTAACTTTTGAAAGCGCAAAGTAAATTGTATGTTTTTTTTTTTAGATTTCTCTTTAATATAGTTAAAATTTTGTACGTATATCTTTGTTTCAGCGTGGAACGAGACCGCCTTCGTGAGCGGGAACGGCAGGCTCGGGCCCAGATGTCGTCGCAGGCGGCCGAACAAGAAAGTCCGGTACCGCCCGGAAGTTTCCTCTTTCAGCCACTAATCAGAGTAAGTGTTTATGTAAACTTTTCCATTTTCCTTCGGCTCCTCCGCGCCTCTTTAAACCTCCATTTATTTACCCACAACAATGACCACAACTCGCACACATGCATTTAGTATTCAACTTTACATTCAGTCCTTACAAAATGCTTTGACTCATCTAATGCAACCCAAGATTTCTAATGCAACAGATAGATGTTCTTTTATACACTATTCAATTGATTTTGTAAAGACTTAACAAAGTTCCTGTAATTTTATTGCAAAAGTGAGGATTCAAAAGCAACAAATATGTATTTTTCATGCACTATTCAATTGAGTTTGTAAAGACCAAATCCTATATTGCTATGATCTGTTGAATGAATCGATAGAAGAGCATCAAGAATCGTTTCGTTTTCGAAGGGGTTTCTGAACGCATTACATAAGAACGATACGTGATGGATTTTATAGATTTATTATACCTTTGCTAGTTTAGCCTCTAACATATGTGGTGCTCGAAGGGACCGGAATTAATCATGATTTATTTATGAGTTTCTTTCGTCGAGATACGGGTAAATCTGAGACTCGCATCCGATGCGGCTGTTTTATGATGTATTTTATCGCGGATTTTTCACGATATTTTTATTGAGTTTAATTTTTTAAATTGATTGATTAAAAAATATATAGTGTAATTCTGTCGGTTCAACGACATGATTTAATATCGCTCAGCTCTTTGTGTAAAAGTTAACACGTTCCATTGAATTACATGTAAATGATAAAACACAATGAAGTAATCAATGACCCCTCTGAATAAAATCGAATAGAAGGCTTTTTAATTAATCGATTATTTACGATCGTTTCACTTATCCGTACTTTCTATTTTTAAGTCTGCCTTTATAGGGAGAAAGTAAATATTTCTTTGCCTAATTATTAAATATTCACGATAGCATCCTAGCTGGTCTACAAAAAAAATCACTTTGGTACATTTATTGTTCGAGAGACAAAAAAATCACGTTTCTATTATTCTCGTCCGAAGAAGAACGGGAACAATTACGGCGAGTTTGGCAAACATCTTGGAACTGTTCGATAAATTCCTCGACTTTCTCGCCGATTTAATTGCTGGGAAATTCTTTCTGGCGCTCGAACGCCTATCGGATTCCGCGATTCCGATTTTTCCCTTTCCATAATATCCCGTCGGATACGTTATAGAAAATGTAATTTTCCAATGAATATGATTTAAAATTCCGACTCGGCCCGGCGTTTCATTAAATTCGCCGATTCTCGATTTCCCTTCTTTTTTGAATCTTTTTTTTATCGCGCGTTAATATCTATCGAATTTCCTTTTGGAAAACTAGAATGCTTCAGCATCAACGAGCAAATAGAAACATGTAGATGAAACGCATCAATGAATGAACGTGGGTTGCTCGATTTTGTATAAGCGTTTATTCGAATCGATCGAATCGATTAAATCAAATCGATATCTCGTGTTTATTGTTAACGTGCAGGTAAAAGATGACATAACAATTCAATCTTCTATCCAACAATCGAAAATGTTTAGGTTATTGGTAAGAAAATTCCACGTGTATAAATTAAATAAAAAATAAACCGGATGGTGGGAATAACAAATATGTAAACCTAATAATTACTCGTAAAAAATATTTACCGCTCAAACAATTTCATAGCAAGATTAAAATATCAACGATTGCTATTAATAGCGTTGAAAAAACTTAATAGAAATGGTGTACTTTGTAATTAAACAACTCGCTTCATAAACGCATTGTTAGCATACTTTTTTCCAATTAGAACTTCTATTTTCATCGAATTATTTCGGAATTAGCAAATTAACGTTATAATTCGAAACGATTTTTCACCGTTTTCAATTTAAAACGTTTGCGTTGCCGCATTCGCCGATGTTTTATTCGTTTGGAACGCGTTCAAATATTTTTCCGTTGCTAAAATTAATTGAGATCGAATCGAAGAAGAGAATTTCGATTACTTCGAGAGACTGTATTGTTATTACAGCGCTATCCCGTCGATAGTATTCGCCTAAGAATTTCCTTAACGTATGCCGAAGGAATCGACATCGCCGTCGACGTTTCTGTATTTGTTGCAATGGTCTTTACTGTCGCAGCTAATCAGCCCGATTGTTAGCTAACTTAGGTACTATACAAAGTGATCAGATAATTTAGTGATGGCTATATCAGATGATGCTAAGCGACATCAAAGCGAGCTCTCGTTTTGTATTGCGTCGGCGATATAAATAAACTTATAATCTGTCCATAGAAGGGAAGTAGAACCGTTTAATTTGCTATCTTGTGCACTTGAATCAAACATAATTCTAACGATTAATTATCCCGGCTGTAGCGGATGACTGTAGCTCTTTTCCGCGTATTTTTTTTGGAGGGATTTGTGCCGAAATGCTGGGCGATTGATTCGATAATAACAAAACAAACGGTAACCGAATAACATGTAATTTGCACTGAATGGTAGGACGAACCGTCCGCGAAGTACAAGTGTAATCCGACATGCCGATTCGTGACCAATACAATATGTTCGATGCGGCATTTCGCTTCCTGATAACCGAAGGAGAAGAAGAAAAAAAAAATGGTCTTTATATTCTGCTTTTAAAACGGTGTTTCTTTCGAACGTGTATTGCGAAATATCGGGTTTCCGTTTTGTTGAGAACATCGTACTGAATTATTATACCAAAATCATTACTATACTTTAGAAGGTTGAATTGCCAAGGTCTATTTATTCCCGTAATTACCGGTTTGTAGTCTAATTATTTAATTAAATTACTTATGCGACTAAGGAAACAGGAAATTCGTCGAATTGTATTTCTGCTACCATCGACACACGAAAATAAATCTTTTTATTTCTAACTATAAAGGCTATAATTTTACGGAAAAAAAGAACAGTGCATAAGAGAAAACAAAAATGTCTGTCAACTTCAATACATCATAACGCTCGCATGTGGGTGGTTCAACGTACGTATAATTCTAATAAATCACTTTTAGGGAACATCCACGTAGGTAGATAGATAAAGGATGTGAAAATAAAGAACGTGAATGATGCGAGGAACGTCGAAGTGAAGACTAATTTGAATTTAGTTGCTCGATAAAAAAAAGAAGAATATCGAATGCGTGTCACTTTCTATTGTGAGGCTCTCGAGTGATTTTTGAACTCTCTTTGAAAAGGGTATTTGTGCATTATAATACATAAATCAAATAACGTCTTATTTAGCAAACCCGAGACCATAATAACGTAATTAGGCACATATTTTTCGTCATTATCAACTCATTAATCATAACTTATTTACGTCGGGTATTAGAAATAAAGAGCGATTCGTTTGAATAGCTAACGATTCCGATAAAAAGCTAATAGGCGAACGAATGCCATATTATTATTAAAGGTCACATCTTTACATAGCCAAAGATCTCATTTCGTTTCTTCGCCAACCTTGATTGCCGATGATCTTATATACGTTTCTCGGTAACCAATTAACCGGCAAACGGGAGGTTTTTATCTCCTACCAAACACCACAATAACTTAACTTTTCCCAACTTTGGCGGGAGCACCGGATTCCATAAGCGGCGAAACCGTAAATTATAGACATATAGTATAAATATAAATTAAACGGAACGTCGTTTCGTTGCAGGTAAACCCGTCCGCAGCGGATCCCGTTACGCAGCAAATCCAGAGCAAGCTAGGCGACTTCCAGCGCGTCAAACATCTCATCAAAGATTGCCAAATCATCGGAGTCGATGGGGTCCCGCCGAGTCCCGGAGTGCCGTCTCCCAACTCCGCCAGGCACAATCCCTTCGGATCGACGGCGGGCGCTTCCAGCAGGTACGAATGCCCTTTAATCGACTATCTAATAAGTTTCATAGAAAAAGTGTAAGTGCCTACGGATCGGTAGGTATAGCTAAGGTACCTACGGATCTGTGGAAATGACTAGAGACGCTTGATGCGCGAATTTAATGCGCGATTATTTTTTCCGAAATTTATGTTGAGGGAATTGCAGTTATAGTACTCGGTGAGAAGTTTAATTGCCGGGCCGGAATTTTAATTGATGAATTCATTACCGTCGCTAACGGGTTAAATTGGTAATGCATACAGGTACTTCCGGCATTTGTAAAAGAGGTAGCGCGATGCATCGAACGTTCTCGCCGCTTCGCCGTTAAAAAACCACATAACCTACATTCGATTAATTTATAATCGAGAGACGATCGGTAAGCGAGCACGGCGTCGCACCGACAGTCTGCTGGCCATTTTTTTTTTGTTCTATTCGGCTATTTCGATCAACGGTGGTTTATTTATAGCAGGCGTCACGAAAAACGCCAGTCGCTCGTACGCGTCTGTTTGGAATTACGCTGAGAAAATATAGAAAACGAAATCGACGCGGATATTTCGTAATAAACACTCGCTCGAGCTCGCGCAGCGAGCCAAATTGTACCCTTTCTAAGCTTATTTGTTTCGTTTCTACGCTTCTAATGCCCAGTTGCACCAAAGCATAATCAATAAATGGCAAAAATCCTATGAAATGGCCTAAAATCAATGGCCTAAAAATCACTTTCCTGTGATACGAAATGTTAACCTTAAAAATTTCAGAATTGTCGGGAAAGTTGTAAAATTATGGATATAAATGCAGATATAAATATTGTGGTAAATGTAGATATACTAGATTATGTGGAGGAAGAAATTAATGTGGTAGATGTTCCTCTGCAACGACAAATTCGAATAAGAACTAATTATTTTGAAACATTCTCGGAGGAAGAATTTTTCAAAAGGTTTCGACTGCAAAAAAGAACGTCCCTACAATTATTTAAATTTAACCAAAATTTAATTATGAATGTACTAATTTCTAGGTTACAGGTTACAGGACATGTTAAAATCACAACTTCTTCTTCTTTTGATCTTTTTTCACTGGCCCCAACAACTAATAGGTTATTATTGACACTTAAAATAACAATTATCTCCTTCTTTTAAGTTTTTCAATAATATTACCACATTGCCAGTTGTTATCTAAGTTAAAATGGATCGTACGTAAAATAGCCTTTTTTGAACATGGTGCAACATATTCCAATCTTAAGTAGATCAAACATTTAAGTCAGACTTAGATAAAATATAACCTAGGATATATTGGTGCAACCGGGCATTATTGTTGGTTATGTTATCGCTTAGAAAATAAAAATACCCCATCCGCACTTCTTCTTTTACTCGATGGCGTTTTATCTATAAAGTCATCCAGCCAAAATTTCAAATCATAATTTTTCTCTATTAATTTTGGTTAGACTGCAACCTCAACCGGACTCCCGGACGGAGTTCAAGAAGCCCCACCACCATCCGCAGCATTCGAACCACCAGCGGGGCGGTTACATGAAGACCGCCGAAGGGAAGCCGCCGTACGGCGGCCGGGGCGCCTATCCCGGCCAGCCGGTGAAGCACGGCAGCACCGGCAGCACCACCAGCCATCGCTCGAACGGCATCTTGCCGGCGAAGGGGCCGCCCCAACAGTCGGCGGCGTCGGTCACGTCGTCGACGTCGTCGTCGAGGTCGCACGGCGCCAACGACGGCCATTCGAGGCTGTCCTACGAGCAGGTAATTTTTTTTTTGGGCCTTTACTAATTATGTTATTCAGCCACATTTGATGTCAAGTCGAGGGAATTGCTCTTGTCGGGCCTTTACTGACTATATCATTCAGCTGTAGTTTTGATAAAATAGGCCGTATTTATAAAAAGAAGCATAACCTTTTGCTTCAAGGTATATGCATAAAAAGAAGTGAAGGAAGAGATGTTTTGCTTCGAGGACCCTGGTGTTGTTTTAAAGCAAAAGGTTTTATGGTTTTACCTTTGTATAAGGTTTTAAAATCTTTTTCTCTTATTACTTCTACCTTTTACTTCAAAGTAAATGCTACATTTTTATAAATACGGAGTAATATCTGGTGTTTGTTTTGTTTTTGGTATTTCTCGCGAATACATGTGAGCTACCATTTTGTTATGTGGCATTTTGTTTATAAGAATGTTTTGTTTTTTATTTAGCTAGTACATAGGTAGATATTTCTCAATGTTACTTCAAGATCGAATTTTATTTTTAGAAATTTTGTCGGTTTGTTTTGTATTATTATCAAAGGTTGGAGTGTTTTTGTGAAAGTCCCGGAACGGATTGGAAACCGCACGGTCCGTGAACTAGTAAGGAAAACTCGGAAAAGCTCGAGGAATCGTTGGAAAATTACGCAAATTCGTTTCCTCGCTCTTAATACCGATTATTAAAAAATTCCTCAATAACCCCCATCATCACATGTTTATGTTAACGTTATAATTTTATTATTAATTGCTCGTTCGACTTTCTTTCTCCGATTACGTGACCAATTCGTACGCCATATTCGTTAAAAAAAGTATATAAAAGTTAATGAACTCGTCGAGCATTTCAATGTTTAATTAGCTAATGCGGCCAGCTCGATTTTCCTTCGGAACATCCATAAAACCGGGGGGGAAAATCGCACTTAACGTTTCCGGCGGACGAGTCACACACACTCTCTTTTTTTTTCCTCTTTAATAATGCGATCCGGTGTATTTCAGAAAATTGCTTTTTCTCTGTCGAGGTACTATTTATATTCGGTTGTTGGAGAGGCGCAAAAAGGGTCGGTTATATAGTTGATTTTTACCGGTTAGATTGGTTGCTTTCTAGTTGGGCAGTTCGCACAATCGGCCGTAAATCTAACTCTCCGAGCACCCATTTCATAAATAATAAATTTTACTTTGTGGCAGAACGCCTAAAAATCCACTAAAAGAAAACTAACGGGGCTCTTATCGGATCGGAGCTGTTGTCGCGGAAAATTCCCGAATTTAATGGAGAACTCGAAGGAAAATGTTCGAAGAGAGATGTTTTTTTATACTAAAACCTATAAGCGGATTTACTTTAAAAATATTACTAGTGACAGTTATAACGATAATTTACTTGTACTCGCATTGATAGGTATCTGGTCCGTAATAATCATAAAGCAATCCAATTAAAAAACTCGATATAATCCAATAGAAACTAGTCCGTTCGAAAATGTTGTAGGTATTTTTACAACACAATTTCGTTTCACTTGCAAGGACATTCAAGGAATTCACGTACAAATCGTATAGTACTGTTCCGATATTTACCGAATTTAAACAATATAATTATTGTCAACTATCACAACCTTGACATCGGGACTAATTAACAGAACAGTTTTTCGTTGAATCGCAATTTCGAAACGTAAATTGGTTTCCTCAAAACGCGAACGTCAACAGTTTTTAATTGTACGCGAATTGGAATTGCGACGAGAGAGGATTGCGAATTAATCCGAAAAATCGCGAATAAATAGAGGAAACGTAAAGTGGCAAAAGTCCAATGTATACCGAAAGATTAACTCGATATACCGACTTCGTATCGATTGGGGACATTTTGCATCACCTTTCTGCAGAACTACTGAAAATGGAGATTTGAATTTTTTGGTGGTAGGTATTAATGTTGTTTTCGCTTGTACCGGGTGTCTCAAAAAAGTGCTAGAGATTGTGCTAAAGTTTTTAATACTCCGTTCGCCATCAGCAGATAGTAATAAAATATCCTGATGCCGAACGGAGTATACTAGAGACACCCTGTATAGAATTATGAAGTTTTAAAACGTCCAGAATGACATAACAATCGTTATTCTGACCTCCATTATCCTCCAAATTAGGCGTCGTTCGAGTATTTTCGTTGCATTGTGCGATCGGTGCTTTGTTAAAGCTTCGGCTTTTCGTTCGGGACAATATTTACATCCCGTACGTGTATGTAGGTAACCGCCTAGACAATTGTAAATATTTACGATTTCTCGTCGAAGTAATCGAATATCCCACTTTGTATTTTTATTTATTTTTTCCTCTCGCTGTCAATAAAGAGAACAGGTCGTTAACGTGAAGATCGCCGCGTTTGTTTACGTAAAACGATAGCGTACGTTATTAAATAACGCGCAGGTTTTCTTTACGACTCAATTCGAAATTATTTTCGAAAATCGCTTGAAGATGAAGTTTTTTAATGGCGCTCCAAGGGCTTCTCGGAATCCCGATATTTTCTTCTGGAATAATTACCCGTTTTACAGTCGTTGCCTCTAATAGTGACTTTCCGCTAGCGAAATTAAAGCTGTTATGCATAATTTAATTTAACCACTTCCATTGTTGTGCGTACAAATAATGTCAGTAGTTGCTTGTAAACTCTCTTTTGATATACATGTCGAAGGTAAAAATTAAAAGATAACCATCGAGCAAGATTTAATTTCAGTATTGTACGGTTTTTATGGGCGATTTAAAGTCGAATAAATTTCGCCTCGACGATCCCCTGAATACGTTCTAGGAATCCGTTCAGATAACAACGAATAGATATATTAAATGAAAATAAATGGCTTCTTTTTATCGCTTTGTATTATTCAACATATAAATTCGATCTTACATCATTTCCACGAAGATAATTTATTGTGTTATTTTTCGTTATAATGTTTGCATAATTAGATTTATGAACTTCTGTGACCTCTCGTTGGCTGCACGAGCTCGATCGTACATCGATTTTAATCCTGCAAATACGTCTATTTTTCGTTGTTGTTTTATTGAAAATTCGCACGAGGAATTAATTCCATTAAAGGACTAAAAACCGTCGGAAAAATGATTGAAAACTCCGGGCCAGGTAGAAAGTCCGATGCAGATGAAACGGGTAGAGGAAAAAAAAATCGCATCATTTACGCGATTATCTCCTGCGACCACTCGATTCGTGTTCGTTATCGACGTTCCGCAAATTCGCAAAGCCGATCGTACAAAAGGGCCATTTTCCGATGCGTCGGACGCAAATAAGCTTTACCCCGATGACCGTTGATAATTCCGAATTAATCTCTTTATTAGGAAAACGCCTCCTAAAATACCGGCTATTTGGAGAATATTGCTTGTATATAGCTTGTTGCGTTTGTACAGGACGACTCAAAAACGGTTTTTTTTATAATAAGATTCACCGACCAATACATTCTTAATAAGTAAGCTTCTTGTTGAAGTTTATGGCCTATTGACATTGTGGACATGCATTATAAGTAATTTTAATTGTTGTTGTTTTTTATATGCACCATTCGCTATCAGGAGGTAGTGATAAAACCTAATTTTGTATGCAAAAGACTGCACAAATCACTCGACGAAGGTATTTTAAAATTATAAAACTTCTACCTTTAGTTATGTTTACTTAACTTCTTCAAGACAATTTTATTACTATCTCCCGATGGCGAAAGGAATATTACGATAGAAGTAACATTGAGGATATATGCGGCTAATTCACGAATCTAATCCGTGAATTTTAGAAAGTTCTAAACATCGTCTTATATATATTTTTTTTGGTATTCCTTTCGCAGATTTGTCAAGGAGCTGCGGCTGGACCGAGGGAGACCTTGCCTTCTGCCACACCGGTGGCCGCCGATGTCGACAACATATTCAAGGTAGGTTTTTCATGCCGGCTACGTCGCCTTTGTAGTATCGCGGGTACCCCGTAAAATCGCCATAGAAACGACTGATGATGGCGTGTGTATGGTTGAAACGTGTTGCGATCGCGACGCGTGGCGGTTACGCAAATACAGACGGGCGTTTTGTTTGCTTTCGTTCGCGATTTTTTTTTAGGTGCGAATGCACATTATCGTCGAACACGTTTTCCGGGGAACGCAACGTGCGTGTCCCTGGGGAGTCATTATCGCTTTCATACCTGGATGAGTTTTAGCTGACGAACGAGGTGCTTTTTTTTGTATAAAACAAATTTATATTTAGGTAATACCATCGGTTTCTTTAATAGAATTTAATTAAATTATCAGAGGATTCTTATTTGTGGTATCTTTAAAATATCTCAAATTCATGGAAGGTTTTTACAGATAAAATTTTAGGGGTTGAAATGAGTTATGCATTCCAAATAATCGTGAATCTACTTCGCTTAAAAAAATTACCCTATTTTTTATCATAGGACATCCTGTATAATTGTGAATTTAGGTTAACGATGAGTTAATTTTTCGAAATGAATCCAGGGCTATCGCTCGGCCTATTCGCCTTGTTCAAACGTCCCGATCCGCGAGGATGGACATTTTATATTGACTTTTACGATTCAGTTGAATTAGTGAAATATATCGTTTCGAACAGTTTATAGGTCGTTCACTTCGCCAGTGTCTATTACAGGTACGTTCGTGAGCTTTTATCTCGCGAAATCGCTGAAAAAAATGGCCGAAGCTCTCTCTTTCTCTTTCTCTCTCTATGCCTCTCTCGTCTCGTTGCAGATGAAACGTTCTATGGTAATTAAATATGTACGTTCGATTATGTTGGTTTTAGAGAAAATTAGAATTGATTTGGCCTCTTATTTTTCTTGTATAAAGCCATCTTTACAATTTAAATCGCCCTGTACGCGCGTTATTCGGCCATCTTTAAAACATTTCCATTATGAAATTCCAAATTTGGGTCACCCTGTGTACGCATAATTCGACCATCTTTATAGGCATCTTCCATTATGAAATTCCAAATTTGGGTCACCCTGTACGCGTTACAGGTATCCGGTTTTTCCTGAATAAAATTTAACGGCGGGATTATGTTTTTTTTTTGCAGGAAATGATCGTCCCGACGACGCCTTTGCCGGCCATGGCGGCGACGCCGAGAATTGAACTCGACAATAAATACAGCTATAATCCAAGTCTTACCAAGGTAAATTGTTCGCTTTATTTCCACACCACATTCACCTATAAAACCGTGTCGAATAATATTCATCTGAAATCATCAGCGCGAGATAGTTAAAAATTTTCGCTCTCTCCGTATAAGCGCTTAATTAAGTACATAAGTTTTTCATAAGTACATATGTTTTTCATAAGTACATAAGTTTCGCGAACGCCTATGGATCGCTTTATTGAATTTCCAACTAAGTCTTTCTGGGAAAAAAAAATAAATGCTATCCTTCGACCTTGTAAACCAATTGAACAATCGTTTAATTCGCCACGACCGACCGGTTTACACCGTTTAATATTAATAAACAATTATTGAACATTAATTAGCCTCACCAACTTCGCACTTAGGTATGTGTAATGTACCTGAATGATATTCCTTATAAACATTTTGTATATTTGTTAATTTTCTGTTACTCTCTTATTGTTTGGCATCAAAATATATCGATGACACTTCTTGTTATCTCTATAATCTAATGCATTTTGTAAATGCTTGATTTTTTTTTTCTCTTTTGAAATGAGTTTTGTAATATTGCGGGTGTAAAGGAGGCGACGTTAATAACGCATCGGCGTCGACGTCACGACGTCGAGTCGCTTATTTATTACGTCGGCTGTAAAATTTTTATTATTCTTTATAAACTATTCGAGCGCTAGAGACACGATAGTTTTTGGCGCGGTTTCAACAATCCGAAATCGAATTTATCGCTTTTAAAAAAGCGAGCCTCTTAATTCGCGTTAAACTCTCTATTATTTTTTTCTAATTGCAGAAAACGTTCGGAAAAACCGGCTGTGTCGGTTGAAAATTATTTCAATATTCGATAAATTACTAATGAAATGAGGGGGAATTGAATCGCGATTAGTGCTCAATTAGTATCGATATGTTTGAATGTAATAATTATTTTCCTAACAGCGTAGTTACCCCAAAATTTTATTTTTAAACTAGTTTAAGCAATGACCTGGATTTTATAAATACAACAAGAGCTATTGTTTTAGGTTTTTTTCCGCCGGACCGGAATGTCTTATTAGTTCATATTTATTTTCTATTTACTCAACACATCAATTTATTCCATAATTAATTAATAGTTTTGTTTTTTACTACGTTTATTTTGTTATAAAAAATTTAAATACAATGAACCTATTTATACTCCTATTGCGTTAAATTTCGATCGTTTAATACGCGGAATTAATTTGATTTTATTTGTTTTAGTTGACCGAGGCGACACCGGCACCTTCTCCAGTTAAAAGTAAGTACTATAAATTGTAATAACTAAAAAAAAAGAAACTTTTCGTTTGCGATGCGAACGCGCGCGTGCCGAAACGTATAAATACGAATTTACTTGATTTATGATCCTCGAGAATTTAGCAAGAAAATCTGAATCCAATCAAAATATCGATTTCGTTGTTTTATTGAAACGCCGGGTAATCGATAATACTCGAATAACCGTTTATTCGTTCCCAGAAAATTAACTGTTACGTGTCATTTAAACTAAAATATTTATTAATCATAAATAATATTTTTCGAGAAGATTTACATGTCGAATTGATCAATAAGCGAAGAAAAAATTAAAGCAATGGAGGCACTCTGGATTAATGAATACACGCAACAAAATGTATTCATTATACACCCATCATTGACCGCCACCCCAATCATATTTCCACCCTTTTTTTTATTAACGGTTACATCCTATAAATTCACGCTGCAGCCAGATAAAACAAGTGTCATTCTAATGCTTATACTTAAAGCCATCTTAAAGTATTAAAAAAAACGGTAAAAGCTTCTATCGCGGCCAGATTCGCGCTTTAAAGTTATTCCTACTTCTTTGTTTTCAATCGAAAAACCACCCAAAGAAATAGCAACTGTCGCGGAATGATTTTTTTAATGAATTTCTTACGAGGAAAAATTTATGTCTCAATCGGTCCGAGGTGTAAATTGCGCCATTAACGGCGCCTATTTTTTTTATTCATTTGTACAGGAACATCTTCTGCTGCATACTAGATCAATCCGGAGACTCTGATGTTGGCTGTCGCTCATAAAAACGGGTTTATTTTTTTTTTGCCCGACTAATCGCTTTCGTTTTTCGAATTAATTAATTAAACGAGCCGTTTTTACGACGTCGAAAAGCCGAGTTACTCGCACCTATTTTCTTTTTTTTTTCATTTCTTTCTCCTCGTTTCCTCTTCATCTTCTTTCACCGTGTTCCCTTCTACCGACGCGTCCGGTTGTTCAGCTAAGGGCACGTGCCCGTTTTCGTTTAATTCTGGATCACGAGCCCCTGCACTCTTAAAATCGACTACGCCGGATGGATTCTGTATACAGGGTGCCGCTGAATATTCGCTCCTTTTATTGCTAAAATTTCATGAACTTTGGTTGTATTAAAATTGGTGGAAAATATGTATTGGAATTTTCCATCAAAAAATATGCGCGGTTTGGGAAGAATTACTTTTTTTTTTATTGTTAAGATGCAATAAATGCTTTGTTGACTGGTTCGATTCGAAGGTCGCGCTGATTAATTTAAAATTTGACGAGCTCGTAAGGAATCGCTCGGTTATCTTTTACGGTTTATTGCCGTTTCGTAATGATTTGTACGCGAAAAAAAGACGATCGTCGAAGTAATAAAACATTCCGTTTCCCTCGATAATTTCAATATTCCGGTCGGATTGTTATCAAAGACTGAAAACAGGGGGCGAGTTCGGGGAAAGGGTTACGCCGTAAAGTGAATGAAATTAACCCGTTTTTGAATGGATTTCCACCGTTGGGGCCTTATTTTATATACCTGAAAACAGTCACGTAGTCGGAGCGCTTTCGTTTAGTAAGAGGAATAAATTTTACTTCTGCGTTAAAAGTGGTACTTTACATATTTAGGAGTGCTACCGCTTTAGGACATAAATAAATTAGACGAATGAGCCTATACAAACAATGGTTTATAGAATGGCAAATAAAAAAAAACACAAGAACAAGCGGGATCATGTTAATAACGAGCTGTTTAGTATCGATTTTTATTGTGTGCGAAAATTCGAATCATGATCATTATTTGAATAATATTTCATACAGTATATGTAGCCTGTTAATTAATTTTAATAGGCGATTCTTGGGATAAATTTTGAGTCGAAAAGTTATGTTAATTAAAGCATGTTAATTTTTGAAAATACTTGGAAACAATAACAGTTTTGAATAGAGAATAAAGAGACGTTTTAAACGATATATCACAAGCCTATACTTCCCATTTAAAAAAGTCGGGGTTGTGACTGTCCTTCGAAAAGGGTCACATTTTGACGTTAACGAATGACAAATTATAATTAAAATTTGATGTGTTTCGGGATTTTCCATAAATATGTTCACTAACCGAATTAATGAATTTATTCCATTTGGCGTTTCCACCCTGTATAAAGGTATGTCCTCAGAAAATTGGTTTTCGATATACGGGGCTGTAAAAATTAATTTTATATGTTTTTTTTGTACCAAGTTAGTGCACCCTATTAATTAAAAAAATAGCGCAAGACCACTCGATTTCTCTAGCAGTTTCAAAAAAAAAAATCGATTATTCCCGCGCTCGCCCCGAATTCCGAAAACGGATCGATTTCCCGTCGAATCGAAAAATCCAGCGCGATTCGCGATTTCCTTCGACGTGACACCGCCGCCTTTTCAAACATTCCCTGCCGGTCCGCCCTTTATAAAACATTTTCATCGGAAACGTCGGGGTAGCCCGCCCGACCGCCGATGATCCGTCCCGGAGGGACGGAGGGCGATGAAACGGTACTATGCACGCTGCAACCGAATGCAGTTCGGCAGTTCGCACGGTGGATTCAAATAGAACGGAACGCCGCACTCCGCACCGGGCTTTTTTTTTTCCTTACGTAATCCACCAGCTCGACATCCAATAAACAAACAAACAAATTTAAATCGGGCGCGTTAACGTCAACGTTATACTCGGAAGTGCCGGTTTTTTTTTTGGGTTAATTCGTTTGGTTCTTTAGGTGCCTTTGTGCGGTTTTTGTAGTTCGCGACTCCGGGAAACACATGGACGTGCGTACTGGACGAGCGCGCACGTAATTGAGAGTACCCCGCGTCATTAAACGCGCGGTTTTGTTGTTGTTGTTCGCGCCATGTTGCCGGTGTCGCGTACGTAACGCGAAATGGATACGTTGCATTACGTTACAACACCCGTAAGTACTCTAAAACGTATGCGTTATACGTTATTTAATGGTAGTATACGATCTGATTGATATGCGACGTGTTGATATAATATAAAAGATACATTACTTACGAAATAACAACGGGTATACGTTAATAGTAAAGTGATTTAAATGTGAAGGATTGTTAGCGAATCTAAAGCACCCGAGTGAAATTTAAATTGCTGTAATAAATTTGTTTGTACGTTTACAATATATTGCGAAGTTGTTAAAATATTTCCAGTATAAGATAATAGAAAGTAAATATATTATCTAGATTAGTCGACTAATTTAGCAAAAAAAACAACATTAAATTTGCATATAAAAACAACATCTGCAACATAATTCTACTACAACACACATAACAATACTCATTTGTACAACATTCAACGACCCAATTAACTCGAGTACCCTACTATAGTCCATCTACCTAATACAGTACTGCTTTGATAAAAATTTCGAAGAGCGTCGATTTGGCAACGCCGTTCTCGCGTAAACTCGAAACCGTTTTCTCTACGTTGTGTGTCGTCTACTAGTCGGTACCGTCCACTTTTCTTTGTTTCCGATTAGTTACCTTGCCTTCCGTTGTTCCCGGCTAGGTTTCTTCTTTGCGGGTTGTTGACACACAGACGTATCGAAATGTGCACGTACGCACACCGCCTTGCGCGCTCGATGAAAGGCACTAAACGGCGCTCTCGAAGCCGAGAGGAAGTACTACCATTTTTGTTCTGCTCATTTTTTTTCTGCTAATTTATTAATCGTAACCAGTGTCCGATGTTCGATGATTTTTTTGACGATTTGGCAACAGTGTTTGGGTTCTTTTTTTTTTTTTTTTCGTTAGCCCTTGTGAAACGCATGTTTATGTTTGCATAGTTTTATTATTCGATCTTGGGTCGTTTCTGTCGGTTGGTTTTTCATTATTCCTTTGATGCCCCCCGTATATTAATTGAATGGCGGGTTCTAGAGAGCCGTGATGAAATTCGAGCAGTGCCACCGGTTTTTTTTTTCTACATTGTTCGATTTTCGAGACGTTTAAATTTCCTAAAAATCACAGGGTATTTCCTCTAAAAAATTAATTTATTTACATCAACATGTTGTCTATGGGGTTTTTATTTACGTTCATCGTAATTTTTTTTGTATTATTTACAATATCGACTTGTTCAAGGGCGAAGCGTAATGACGAAAAAAAATCGTTTTTGAACATTAAAGCACGACTGGAATGTTACCTGTTAACCGCCAGTAATGAATTCATAAAATTTGCCATAAATTATTGCAGTCGTAAAATTACATTCAATGCACATTCGACTCGGAACTTGCGGGCTTACAACGTTAAATAGACTCTAAAAACGGGGGTCGTTCGATGAGAATTGTAAAAGTAACCGGCTAGATGGGTTATCGATTTTTTTTCACCCATTCCACTACCGTGCACTCGTTAATGCGAAGTAAAAAAACCTCTATAGTATTCTAGAAAGTAACAAATCGTAGAAGCGGGTAATAAAAAAATTAAATTAAGTAATAAAATCAGTCGAAACAATTTACTATTATTTACGACGTCTTAAACGCGCCTCTAATAAACCGCTCTAAACATTCTCGGAAAGGGACTCGACAAAATATCAAATACAATTTTTTTCCTTTTATTGTCAGTTAGAAGTTCGAAGAGAATAAAAAAATTGTAAATTGTGCGAAGAGAGAGGCGTCAAGTCGTAAATATTTTGCTTATTGGATCTTTGTGCGTGCGTCACATTCAAAACGACGCAATTGCTTTCTTAAAAATAACATGATGGGTTTGTCATACCCGCTTTCTTCTCACTTTAACAGCTTTTTTGACATATGCAGGTGATAGTTGACATGTGACAGTTGACATGTGACATTTGACAAGTGATACTAGATATTATCGTCCCTTCTTCGAATCCTTCGGCATACGGAGATCGTTGATAGTGATAATTATAGGTTTTTCCCTTCTCTCTTAATTATGACATTGAATGAAACGAGGATAATTGAGATAACGGATCTCCTTTCTGGCGTAATAACGTTCGTATGTATCTGGGATTTATCTTGTGTATAAACATGCGTGTATTTATTTCCGGTAATGGATTTTCGAATCGGTCGTTGTTCGAACGTTAAACGAGTAGAAAAAAAAAATGTTACTTTTTAAACGTCGCCTTTTAATCTCGGATTTTACGCGTACGAAACCGTGACGAAAGCGAATAGATAACGGCAACGTTGTAATGGTACTTCGTAATGATGGTTTTTAAGGTGAAAGTTAATTTTTATGGTATTGTAGAACTAATTGTTATATTCTCGAATTGGAAAAAATGAAGTACAATAAACTCGGAATTTAGAAATCATTTGGCGGGTTTGTATTTGCAAGATTTATTTATTTTAAGTATTATTTTTTCACTTTCGACGAAAACTCGTTCGAATTTGAATAACATTTTGAATTTAATCGACCATTAAATATTCTACGATTTGTTTGTTTTTTTACAGCCTTAGGCAATGTTTTTCTAACAAACATCTGTTCACCTAAAAAATTTTTTTTCACTACATACCGCTTTATTAGATAATTATTTTGTAATTTCTCGCTGTTTCATTTCGCTCGAAATGCTATTTTGACTGAAAGGGAAGTTTCCGATGCAAATTCGATTCGAATTCAAGAACTCGCCAATTAGATAGCAATATTTTGTTGTACTCGCAACAAGGTTACAATAAAATGCTTTGCTGAATTGTTCGATCGGATTCAGCCTTGCCACTTGCCGAACTTCTTTCGGACATTTTAATACGCTCATAATTAAATATCGGCTCGCTTTAATTGCTTTATTACTTTTTTAGCAAACAAGTTATTTAGTGCTTTAATCGACTACAACACCTTTGCTATATACAAACAAGTTTTTTTAGTCACGATATTATTTAATAAACGAACGGGAAGAATGCTTTTAAGTACTCGTGTGGTTGATTGTTGTACAACAAAATTAGTAAACATACTGGTATAACATACAAAATGGTGTTTTTTTTTAATTTTTATGATATATGTTGGATTTTTTCAGTCCGGTAAAAGTCGAATTTGTATATCGAAAGTTTATTAGCCGGATAATAAGCAATAAAATTATCATGTATGTAAGGAACGCGTATGAATATAAATTCTTTTTTAGTTATAACGTAGCGTCTCTAAATAGTAATAAACGAGTTTATGTGTGATAATAAAAGTTTCGTAAGTTGTTTACACTCGACCTTTCGGCTTAATAGTCTATAATAAATTACCTTTAAATAGGTACTATTCGAAAAACTGAAAATCTAAAACTACCAAATATTGCCAGATTTATAATTTCTCTTATTAGCGTTGGCGTTTATTACAATTGCGCGAATATCAACATACAAACGATCCGTAAGACAAGTAATTTGCAATTCAAAATCCAATTTTCACATTGCAATTTCTCACTCACTCCCTATTTTTAGCCGTGAAATTATTCTTTTCTCCGCCAATTCGAACGTTTCAATTTCCACGTCTTACAAACATGTTAACGCTTGCATTTTCGCAACAAATTTTATTCTCTCACCTTCAATTTTTTATACATTTCGAAACGAACGATTGTGCAGCAGGATCAAATATTTTTTAACGCACGATAAAAAATACTGTTTTTTATATATTAATTACAAGGGAGCAGTAAAGAAGTTAAAAAAAGATTGTCGATTAAAGTTTGCTAGATGAAATTTCAAGTTTAGTAAGTAGCAAGAAAATTCGAAATTAATTATTAAAGAAAATGTAATGTTACAGCTTTTCTTGTATAATATATTATTAATAAGTTCATGCTAAATTCTATTAAATAAAGTTTTTTTAATAGAACTTATATAGAAAACTTTTGTTTAGTGATAAAAATAGCCCCTCGAAGGGCCAGACCGTCTCCGAAGGAAGCATTAAAAATAAAACAAATAAAAAAATATATAGAACACCCTGTCGACCGGGCACCGGGAGTCTATCACTATACTTTGTCTCTTCGGTCTCCTCTCTCACGAATCACCTGGCACGCAGGTGTCAGTCGAATCGCATCAAACAGGTGGTCCCTTCGGCGGATATCGAAAGGCTCTCCTAAGCATTGTTTCGCCGGCAATTTATCCAGTAGTTTGCGACGTTCGTTTGTACGCAGAACAATTAAAAATAGATACACATGTGTTGCTTGGGACGCGCCGAAAGGTTCGACCGTTCGACAAGTCGTAAACGTACTGATATTTATTTATAATGTATAATAGCACGTTGATTTCGATCGATCCGTTTTCTTATCGAAGTTCTTTTTTTGTTGTTTCAGAACGCGAACGACAGCTCGCACCTCGACCATCGACGTAAGTATTACCATTCATTTTACGTAACGCTAATCGACGATTGTTAATCGATCACTGCGATCGGCTTCGAGTAGATTTGTTGTACCATGTTGCATTTTGCCACTGATGATGTTTGATTTTATCCGAAACTAGTAGCCAGAGTTTCATCTAAATACTGATGGTAGATTTAGTACATTATTTTTGGCATGCACTGGTGATGTTTGAATATGAGTTTCGCTTATTTGCTTTCTAAATATTGGTTGATATAGTATATTATTTTTGGAGCTGATGATTGAATTCATTCGAAACTACTAGCCTGATGTAGTTCGAATTCCCTCGAAATTAGGGACCGGTGTTCTAACTGTATGTTTTCCGAGTAGTTAGTTTATTTTCCGGGAACGTTTTTCCTTTTCCTTGCCGGAAAAGTGACGATTCATCGGGTCACGGGCGAAAAACCGTCGTAAAAAACGCGAAATCGACGATGGTCGAGGAATCCGGTGTGATGGAAACCCGAAGGCTCGTTAAGCCGTTAAATCAACGGATTATTTTCCTCCTTGGTCCCCCCGAAATTCGTTAACTCCATCGATTCGAGTGAGTCGTCTCGGTCGAAATTAGAAGTCGAAAACAGCAAAACGATTTTATCTGGTCCGTGTTTTTATCTCTATTCTTTTTATTATTTTCGAGTTTCCGTTTAACCGATTCGCGTGATACGTTCCAATTCCAGCTCTCTCTCTCGATTTTTAACTCGTCAACGACGTTTCTTTTAATCGATTCTACATATACATGGTGAGTGTATAAAATTCCTCATTATCAAGAATCACCCTGTATAATTGTAGACCACCCACGAATCCTTCGATACCGTGGGATGGAATATAGAGAGATATAAAAATAGTGTGCATTATAATTAGATTTGAATGTGAATAACGTATTAATTTCGTAAATGCCCTTTATAAGGGCGTCCGCCCACAAACAAACAAGGTAATTACCGTCTGATTTCGGTACGTGTACGCGCGGATTAAATATTAATTGGTTACCTTTACCAATTTTTACGGGCTCTTTGTTCCATCGAAGCCCACTCTCGTTCGATTCTATTGGCGAAATTTATCCATTCGGTCCGAAATTTTCTACGATGATGCGTTTAAACGTATTCGAAATTTTCCACGAAACCATTAGCGATGTGTGTGTGTGTTTTTTTTATTGAATTAAATTTCTTGTTACGTAGTTTAATTGGCGATAAAAATTGATAAAATATGCACGATTGTTATTCGTATTCGCGATAAAAAGAATTATGTCCGTAGAAAAAAATGTTAATGATCATTTCTCGACTGATCTATCTCGAGGGAACCGTGTAGCTCGCTGCGCGAGCTCGACCAATGCCGGCTGAGGTGTTTAATTTGATGGGAAATTTAATAATTGGATTTAATCGGTGAGCGTTCGAATGGAAATGGAAATAACTGCTAACCGACTGTGAAAATTTAGTCCTAAAAAACGGATCTCTGTTGGAGAACATCTGCACTCGATCATGGTGGTTTTATGACTCTTCGGCTCGGTTTTGTTTGAAGTGAGCTGATCGTTAAATACGGAGGATCGAAGATTGGGAAAAAAGCGGTGTTTAAAAATAACCGGGGAATACGTAAGAGCGTGAAAACTATAGTTAATGAGGCGAAATTTACACGAAATTACCGACATATTTCAAACTCGTCTTCCCTATCAGGAACAATTTTTTGTTTAACAATCGCAGTTACTGTAAATACTAAAATGCTTCACCGAGTCGTCACATCGTGAATCAGTGCCTATTTATTTTTTTTTTAATTTGTTATCGACTTTACTTTTTGATTGTAGATATATGCACTTAGTACACACTTCAATAAAACAATTCGTTTGCTATAAAATTCTTAATTATGTCGATAAATAATTAATATTTTTTTGCGTAGATAACACAAAAATATCTATGATTCTCGTTATTGTTCCAGCGATTTAAGAGATGATCTCAAACTATCGGAGGAAAGCGACGATGAACAAAAGGACTCGCTACCTTCATCGAATCCAATAGGAAGGTAAATACTATTGAATTAACGCTAAAAATTGAACAAACCCTAACGATATAATCGGTTAATACAGGATGTTATCGCCGCTCGGCGCGACGCCAGCCGTCCACACGTCGCGAATGGACCACCGGCAGCACGAAGCTGTAGCGCCGATGCCATCGACTCTAAGTTCCTCCAGCGACTCGTGCTCGGACTCCGGCTCGGACAGCGACTCGAGCACCGAGGACACCGGCGACGAGAACGCGCCCGTCGTCAGCTCCAAGCCGGACGCCGTCGTCGAGACGGCCACGTCGACGTCGCCGAAGGCCGAGGAGGACGTGCGCTGGAACCTGGCCTCGTTCGTCTCGTCCAACAGCCAGAACGCCGCCCATTCGCCGTTCCTCTCGCCCATCAAACCGTCCCCGTTGCCCAAAGCGTCCTCCGACGATGATCGGAAGAGGTGCAGCGAGGAATCGGACGCCAGCGATACGGCCGAGAGGGTGATGGCGGAGGCCAAGAAGGAATTGTACGCTTTTTCTTCGATACCGTTGTTGTCGAGTTTATCCGACTCTGATGATAATGGTAAATTAAACAGTACGAAAAGACGAAAGCACACCATCCAATCAGTTACCAAACAGCCAGTTAGTGATAGTGATAGTGACGATGAGCAAGCGAGGACTAGAAAGATGAAGCCGGTGAGTCGGGCGAGTCCGAGGACGAAATCGATCGATTCGCCGAGCGACAGCGATTCGGACGCGTCCAAATCGTTCGCGATCAAACCGAAATCGCCGCCGGAGAAAGTGAAACCGGGCCGCGGCCGGCCGCGCAAGAAACCGCTCAACGGCGACGCCGCCGCCGCCGCCGCCGCCAAGGAGGCGAAGAAGCGCGGCCGCCCGGCCAAGATCAACAAACCGCACCGGTCGCGGAGCGGCGGCGGCGGCGGCGGTTCGTCGGGCGCGGAGGTGCGCAAGGCGAAGCGCGGCCGCCCGCCCAAGCAGCACCCGGCGACGCGCTCGCCGAGCTCCTCCGACGACGAGCCGCCGCCGGCGACGGCGACCGGCGGTGGCGCCTTCGAGAAGCCTCTGCCGCCGCCGCGGCGCCGCACCAAGTCGAAGCGCGTCAGCTCGAGCAGCTCGGAGTCGGGCGACTACGACAAGAAGGCCGGTAAGTTCCTCAAGGATGATCGCAGGAGGTCCAAGAAGCGCTCCGACGACGACGAGTGGGGTAAAGAGAACAAGGCGATGCTCAAAAATCATTTCAAAGACGGCAAACGTTCGTCTGAAGCTGCCGTTAAGGAAACCTCGTCGCCTCCGAGGCGGAAAGGCCGCACCAGCGCTAAGAAATCTTCGGAACCCAAAAGCGTAGCGATACTTTCGTCGGATTCTAACAGCGACAGCGACGTTAAAACGACGAAAAGTAAGTTCGGAGCGCGTTCGCCTTCGTCGTCGCCGAAGAGAATCAGCGATTCGGACAGCGACGGTACCGTGGCGTCCAAGAAGAGCCCCGTCAAAATCGATTCCACCATCAAAGTGGACGAGAACAAGACCATAGCGGACAAGAAGAAGAGCGACACGCTGAGGAAGCTGTTCACGCCCAAGAGGGATTCCGAAGGGGGCAAAGGAGGCGGTAAAGGCGGTGGGAAAGGCGGCAAAGGCGGTAAAGGTAAGCGTTAATTTTCGTCGAACTAGTTTGTGATGATTAATAAATTTATTATTATCGTAGGCAAAGCCGGTGTAAATGTGATTATAGTGGACGGCGATTACGAGAGGAGCAGCTCGTCGGTGGAGGACGAGACCATGCCCACCGCCGTGTCGTCGGCCATGGAGCAGCAGATTCCCCTGAAGGAAATCAACAAGCGCTCTCCGCCGAGTTACTCGGTCGACGAACCAATTACTCAATTCAAGACTGATATCGATAATCACGAACGCAAAGTGGCGATGTGGGTGAAAATCGAGCTGCACCGATTGAACGTCGACCGCATTCCGGCGCTTCGCCAGCACCTCGCCTCGAAGGGTCGCCAGCTCGACGGCGAGGACGCCAAGCCGGCGGCGAAGGCGTCGAACAAAGACCGGCCGCCGTCGGTGCGCCAGCTCGACGATCCGCCGGATCGCGGCGGGCACAAATCGAAGAAGCGGAAGCGGCGCAACAGCTCGAGCTCGATATCGTCGCATTCGACGGTCAGCAGCAGCCTGTCGCACGGCGACAGAAAGAAGGACTACCACAAGAAGGAGAAGAGCAAAATCAAGGAGCACGTGAAGCACAAGCGGCGAAAAGAGGACGGCGAGCACCTACAAAGATCTCACATTGAAAATCTCAATTTAATCAACGCACCTCCCACCAACCACGAGAGGGAAGGCTCCTCGAGGATACCCCATTGTGATCCTTCGCCTTCCACCAGTCGGTCTCACATGTACAGGGAATACCATTCGTATTTTGAGACGCACGACATACCCTCGGAATACAAAGAAAGGTAAGGACATTTCGTTAACTTTTCATAATAAATACCAATAGCAGGACTTTTATTATTAACACGTTGATGGGTCAACGTGTTAAACGAATGTTCAGTAGTGCAATAGCTGTTGGTGTAATTTTGATGTTTTGTATACTTTGTAGGGATCAAAACCAGTACCTGAGCGATGCGAAAAGATTGAAGCACATGGCGGATAGGGAGTCCGATACGATAAAGCAGTGCATGTTGTACCTGGAAGCTGTATTATTTTTCTTATTGACCGGGAACGCCATGGAATATGAACAAATTACGGAAAAAGCCGCCTTTACGATGTATAAAGATACGCTGTCCTTAATAAAGTAAGATGGAAAGTTTATATTTGCGATTAAAATATTAATTTTTTTGTTTCTTGTTACAGGTACATTTCTTCTAACTTCAGAAGCCAGCAAAACGCCTCTCCTGTATATAATAAACTCGCTGTGTTAAGGTAATTATTCCCTAAATCCTAATCGACGATGGTTTGTTAAACTTTATATTAATTTCAGTTACCGGTGCCAAGCTCTACTATTTTACAAATTATTTAAAATGAAAAAGCAAGAATCCAAAGATCTTCAAAAAATCATCAGTGAATATTGCTCTAAGGTAAGATATTGATAGTTCTTTAAACGTGCCTCTAAAGGGTCACTTTAATGTAAACAAAGTCCCTAGTTACTCCATAACAACAGTGTAAAACTGTCAATTGAATGAATCCCCTTAGTTACTCCATAACAACAATGTAACTCTGTCATATTTTACCTCCTTGGTCTCTTACCTTAAACCGCATCCAGCCAACATCTTTTGTGTTTGCTCGCCATCCTCGGCCTGTTACGTTTCACCGCATCCAGTCTAATCCACCGTGGTATTTTCGTTTATTGCAGAACCAAGCCGCTCTTCTGGCGCAGGATCCGCAGAACCACCAGCAGGGCCAAGGGACGCCGTCGCCGTTGTCGCCGACGCCGTCGCCGGCCGGGAGCGTCGGCAGCGTCGGCAGCCAATCGTCGGGCTACAACAGCGGCGAATTGGCCAGCAGGGGAAACGTGCCTGTGAACACCCACTCGCAGAACGCCGGGGCGTGGGTGCCGCTCTCTGTTTACAACGCCATGTCCAAGCTGAACCAACAATTCACATATCTACTCTCGTACCAAGAACTCTGGGATATGGCGGACCAATTGGTTCTTAAAGGCCCATACACCGGTAAGTTGTTGGTAGAACAACTCTCGACGAATCGATTGGTTGATTTATCGTTTTGTTTTTCCAGATTTTTTCATCGAATTGGACAGACAATGTAGACCGTTGACCATGCACAGTTCCCTGATCGATTTAGTGAGTTACGTGCGAGAGGGAATTACTAGGCTGAAAAAGGAAAGTTAGGTTCGGTTGTTCGTCTTTTTTGTTTTTTCGTTGTTGTTTTCTTAGAGTAATTGTATGCCAAAGAACGCACCAAGTCAATTTGAATTGTCAATGGATCGGTCATCGGCCAAGACAGGAGAAACTTTATATACGGTTATTTATATTTTTTGAATATAAACGCGATTATATGCGGGAGGTGTGAACCTTTCAATAACTATACCGGCGTTTTTGTCGAAGTCTATACGATCGCCCGGGATCTTTTTATTGTATATTTTATTTTAAAATGTTCCTTTTATTTATTTTTAAGCGTTTTGTTTATACTATTTTATCCGCGCGTGGATAAGAATTTTTTTGTTGGTTTTTTTTTACGCGATCGTTTAGATTTCGATAAACGTGAAATAATATCAGGACTCCTAATTAGTAGATTAGCTAATTGACCTATTTTTACTTAGAATAAAAAGCTATTAAGTGGTTTAATTAAAAAAAAAGATTCAACTTAGAAGGTGCAGTACTATAATATTTTTACATTAGTAAAATTCCACGTACATAGTGTATATTTTTCTTTGTAAATATTGTATGCTAAAGTTATATATTTACAACTTGCTATATTTGTACAATGCTGAATAAATGAATTTAGGCCTAGTAAAATGAAAATACTACATCTCAAATCGGTTGTGGTCCGTGGATGTAGAACTAATTTACAGAAAAAAATTAGTAAGTCATTGTTATTTTTGCATATACGCAAGGCGATTTATTAGCTGGTTTCAATACTAGGAATCGTATAAAATATGTACAAATATTACTAACACATTTTTAAATCTCCTATTTTTATAATAAAGGGGTCTTTTAGTTTACTCCTTTAAAGGGTTGGATTTCATTTACTCGCCCTGTGTGCTTGGTGCTTTTAAAGTATTTTATTTTATTTATTTGTGACGGAATCGTCGGTAAATATGAATCAATTCTGGATAGCCAATTGAATTAATTTAATCTCTGGACTTTGCAAATTAATTTCGTATCCATTTACGGCTATCCAATGAACGTGATAAATTTTAATTAGTATATAATGTTAACAGTTTACGGTTTTTTTCTATTGAAACCAATCAAATAAAGCGCTTTGTTTTTAGACGATAAGCGTGCATATATTGTATCATGTATGTATATCATGTATATTTTATTAATTTTAAATTATTTAATTTTTATTTTTATTATTAAGTATTTTTTCTTAAGGCCATTTGCAAAACGAAATTAAATTAAGTATATATTATAAAAAAAACAAATAATTTTTTATCGCCTATTGTTATTACTTTATTTAAAAATTGTATAATGGCGGAAGAACCTTAAAAATGTTGACGTTTATTTGAAGAAATTTTAAATGTTGTGATTAAAGCGCTGTTTAATCAATGATCATTGCAATACAATTGTGACAATCACTTTTTTGAGATTACCTTCTGTTCGCGGAAAATCAAAATATATTCCTTTTATTTATTGATATTTATTAACTAATGATTAATACTCGCCATCAATGATACTCTTAATGAAGAAACGTAAGAGGAGAGAAAAACAATTCAAATATTTATTATAAAAAAATTATTTGTAACTTTTATCAAAAAAATATCTAAGTATAACCGTTCGTTTTGACGCAATACTACTTCGATACTATTCAACTTGCAAATCAAATAAAACACCGCTAATAATCAAAAAAATGCAATAGCAAGTTGCAATGATCGTTCGTTAAAAAGTGCACAGATCGCAGTTTGGTTACCGAACGATCAACGTTCGCATTTCGCGGTGCTAATTTTGTATAATTTTCGGGACGTTACGGTCCGATGAAGCTAGGCTGGATGGGACCAATGGAAACAATTTTTTTTATGGGTGCGCGTACGTATACGAGAAAAGTGATAAAGGGTAGAAAAGCTGTATTTTGATATTATGACTTTAGTAATCTCATCTCTACCTGGCCTGCTAATCGATTCGAACCGAGGCGTTTCACAGAAATCCCTTTCGATTGTTACTTAGTTTGAACGCTTAATTAAATTCAGTACTTAAACTAGATTAGAAGAGTTTCTCGATTTAATAATCGATACGAGAGCGTAGAAGTAAAGCGTCTTTAATAGTAACGTGTCATTACAAAGCAACGTTTATTCTCTATTATTGGTTCTTGATGTGCCTTTTACTAATGTAGAATGATTAGAGAATAAAGCAAATAGTCGCTTTTTATGATTTTAACGAGTATTCCGGACGCGAATAAAGCCGTATTTTGAATGCATTTTACTATTAGACTCCGGCTCTACTAGACAATGCGAATACTGCATCGATTGCAGTATGATTTAGTGCCAAAAAAACTCTCAAGTATTAGACCTTTTCTGTAAACGCCTCGTCAAACACGATTTATTTTCGATTTAAACATATCGATTCAGGCGGCATCGCAACGATTAGGGCACAACTAATCGTACAACTCTTTGGAAAAATAAATGTCTAAAATAGTTTACTATCTAGTAGTCTTCCAATAGTCTTGTGTCTAGTTGCGCGAGCGTACTTGGAAATATATTTTTAACGTACGCTCGGGCAATTCCTGGTGTCCTAAAAATCGTTGCGAGAATCGCCCTGTATGTGGTTGGATAGTTACTCGATTGATTTTGTAACCGAACTGAGGTCTGCGTGTCAAATGAAAATCAATAACTGACATTATCTTTATTAGATGACTCCAAAATTAACTTAAAGTGACCTTGAACTAGATCATAATGAAAAAGAATACATCAGTACCTTGTACATATTTATACATAAAGTTTAAGATCAGTTATACTTTTGAGGTGATGTGTAACAAAAAGGACCGAAAATTTTCTTTCAAATATATTATTACAGCCAATGGTACCTCTCGATTGTTTCATTTTAAACCTTAGCTACCCCGGAGATGCAGAAAAATAATTCTTATTTAAAATATAATTTATTGGTTAAATATTATAGGATATCTAGCACACCAATAGATCAGTAAAATATCATATTACCAGTTGGCAATCAATTGATTGTGTTGATAGATTGTGCCCAAAAGATCCCCTTAGAAAAAAAAAGATCAAAAAATTAGAGAAGAAAATATACGCGTAGTGTTCAATAATTATTACACTACTATACAAGGTGCAGTAATTATTTTTCGCACTACTATACAAATTTTGCATAAATACCTGCTTTACATTCCGTTGTAAGCTGGTCCACCGCCACCTTCGGGAACCACCCAATTGATGTTTTGCTTCGGATCTTTAATGTCGCAGGTTTTGCAGTGTATGCAGTTTTGAGCGTTGATTTGCAGTCTCATTCCTTCACCGGATTCTAACGGTACATATTCGTAGACACCTAAAATCATTTATACTCGAATATTGAACGAGTTTTCATTGCTTCGTACACACCTGCAGGGCAAAATCTTCCCTCAGGCCCGTCGTAAATCGGGAGATTCGTGCTTAAAGGAACCGAGTCATCCAGAAGAGTGAGATGGGCCGGTTGATCGCCTTCGTGATTAGTACCGGTTAGAGCAACCGAAGACAGAAGATCGAAGCTAATTTTACCATCGGGTTTCGGATATTCTATCGGTTTACACTCCTTGGCTGGCTTCAGTCTCTGATTATCCGGAACTGCAACACGTCAATTTACAATTTCGAATAATTTGAAACTAAATCTACTTACTTCCGTGTTTTAAAGTCCACGGTTCTTTCCCGCGCAGCAATATGGAAATACCGCTGTGCATCAACCCGCCGTAGAGCCCGATGGGATTGTGAAAGCTCGGCCTGATGTTTCTCACAGCTTTAAGCTCGCTCCATATCCAGCTGTTTTTGATTTTATCTTCGTACGATTTGGGCTCGAACCCTTCGGTCTTTTGCTTCTCGGAATTGATCGCTTCGTAGGCGCTCTCTGCCGCTAACATACCGCTTTTCATCGCGTTATGAGTACCTTTCACCTTCGGAACGTTAATGAAACCTACAAAATGTATAAATCATGCAAAAATTCTGAACATAAATTCGCTAATATACCCGCGGAATCTCCCACCAAGCACCCTCCAGGGAAGGTGAGCTTCGGGATGCTCTGGAACCCTCCCTCGACCAAGGCCCTCGCGCCGTAGGCTATGCGGTTACCGCCTTCGAAGTAGTGCTTAACGGACGGGTGATGCTTGAACCGCTGGAACTCCTTGAAGGGGCTCAAGTAGGGGTTCGTGTAGTCCAATCCTATCACGAAACCGACGGCGATGAGGGGCGTGGGTTCGTTCAAATGGTACAAGAACGAGCCCCCGTAGGTGTGTATGTCGAGGGGCCAGCCGAAGGTGTGCTCCACTCGACCCGGTGTGTGCTTCGAAGGGTCTATTTCCCACACTTCTTTTAACCCTGTTGTGATTAATCAACTATTAATTACAACGTGTTTTAATTATGTACGGTGAGTTACCTATTCCGTAGGTTTGGTAGTCGGAGCGGCTCCTGAGGTTGAATTTCCTGATGATCTGCTTGGATAGATGCCCGTGGCAGCCTTCGGCGAATATGGTGCATTTGGCGTGCAGTTCCATGCCCCTTTCGAAGGTTTCTTTAGGGCTGCCATCTTTGGCTATACCCACGTCGTTTGTGGCTATACCCTTCACGCTACCGTCGGGGTGGTAGAGAACTTCGGAAGCCGCATAACCCGGGTAGGTTTCCACGCCTAGGGCTTCGGCTTGCTCGCCTAACCACCTAACTACGTGGCCTAATCGTACTATGTAGTTACCGTGATTGTCCATAGGTAGACCTATAAAGAACCCCCTTTAATTACTTAGCTATGACGTCACAACTCATCAAGAGACCTCATTGGCTAGATATAAAATTAAGCGAGAATCGTGTACTGTGATAGGCTAGATGCTGTAATGTAACTGTCAACAATTTCTTTGGGTATAAGTACCTTTAAATATCGGTATGTTGACCCTTTTAGTGGCGGTTAGAAAACCGAACTTGTCTTCGGTAACGGGGGTGTTAAGAGGGGCGCCTTTTTCCTTCCAATCGGGTATGAGTTCGTCGAGAGCTTGCGGTTGGATTACGGCGCCCGATAGAATGTGGCCTCCGACTTCTGAGGCTTTCTCCACCAAGCACACTCTCAGCTCTTTGCCGTCCTGTTCGGCTAGTTGTTTCGCTCGGATGGCTGCGCTCATCCCGGCTGGGCCTCCGCCTACTATTAATATGTCGGTTTCGTCTGCGAACCTTTCCATATTCACGTCTACAATATATTTGTTGTATATAAATTATAGTTAGTAATGTTTTATTGGTTCGCTTACCCTTCCATCTTGGATCTTTATCCCTGGGATGGATCGTATAATGTGTAGTAATCTTCGAGTAATTCCTTAATAAAATTTGAGTCTGTTTGACTAAAAATAATAATAATTGTTATTAAAATAGGTAGAAGAGGTAAAAGGTGCGAAAAATAAAGCTATAATACAAGAATTGGTTACAGAATCGCAGCTTACCTAGATTTTGTGTGTTTTGTAATTTCAAAGCCATCTTTTATAAGTAGATTTTACGTTGAATAAATAACATATGGAATAACTGCCTAAATTAAAGTAAACTTTGAATAGATAGAAATAAAAAGTGGAAAATAAAAGGATCCAAGTAAACGAATACAAAAATAAATATAATCAGGTGAACCTTGCACTTTGAACTTAACCAAACTTATAAGTAATTGTAAAGAATTAAAAATTTAGAATATCAAAACAAAACAATCAAACGTATATCAAGGTTATAGTAGCTGCATACACGAAAGACAATAGGTCAATTTTTGAATGACATTTGACGTTAATATAATTCTTCTTTTTGTTCTTATTGTTATATATCTTGATAACAAAAAAGTCAGTAATCACAGTTGATAATTTATTTAAAATTTCATAAAGTTACTCAATAAAAATTACTCGCTTTTAAACCATTTATTACCTTCAAGACTGAAACGTCAACCTGTCCCGTTCGATTACTCGTATAGGCGAGTTATTCTTCAGATAATCTTCATACACTCGAACATCCTCTGGACCTTTGCGAACGTTTTTAATATACCGGGGAATCTCATCGAAGAAATCGCCTCCTTTTCTGATAAAACTCGACATGGCCACGTAATAGATTCGATCAAGCTCGAGTTCTCTGTACACTTTTTCACCAGAACCTCGAGAAAGAACTTTTATAGATGAAAGTCTTTCACCAAAGGCTCTAGTCATGTTGTATACCAATTTAACACCTGAAATTATTTATAATACCTTAATAAATAAGGTGTATAATTTTAGAGTTAAAAATTATTTACCTGATACTTGTAATAGTTTGGAAATATGACCATCGAAAAATACTGATGTAGATTCGAATATTTCTTTGATGTGTTTTCCTTGCAATTCCCCCAAATCTACTGTATTTCTGTATGGTGTTGATGTATATAAATCGTTAATAGTTATACCTAAAAATTATGTATATCTAAAATTATGAGAGTAATTGAAATATTTGAACATACGGCCTTTTTCAATCGGTTTTCGAATCCCAGCTGAGTTCAATATTGCCAAAAAGTCGTTCTTCTCTTCTAATTTATCAGTATACTGGAAATTCGCTTATTTTAACTAAATTAATTACTGATAATTAGTAAAATTACGTACATAATAAAGCATTGCATCGGCAATTACATCTCCTAACAGGCACTCTTTGTAATAACAATCAGAATCCAAGAAAATATTAGTAAAACCAATTGTATTATTACCTTGTTCTTCAACGTATTTCTTCGTTTCAATCAATTCCTCGTTAATTTTTTCATCTACAACAAATCTATTATTTTTATCGTTCGGTTTAAAAATGGCGAAATTATCATCACCTTGCGGTACATTTTGATCGAGCAGAATGGGCTTCCCCGAATAGTTAATCAGCTCCCCGTTTCCATCCAACGTAATGGAAATGTTTCCCAGGAGTCTACAAAAGGATCCTGCTTGAACAATAGCAACATCTCGCCCGAATTTGCTCTTCACAATCGTCGGATAAGGTCCTTCGATTTTATCGGGAATTTTGAAGCTTCCTGAAGGTTCAAAATAAATTCTAGCGCATCAGAATTAATTTAGTATAATACCTTCGCTCGATAAAAGAGTATGAGAATGCCCGCCGACTATTAAACTAATCCTTTTAGATGCATTCGCTGCAATTTCCTTATCGACTGGATATCCTGCGTGGGATAGAACAATATTCGTAAAAACTCCTTCCTCCTTTACCAGCCTATCAGCTTCTTCGTTGACACTCGGGGATTCCGGTGAAAATTTCAACCGGCCCGTTTTCGATAAGCGCTGGAAATAAATTTAATAGATATATTTATACTAGTGCAATGGGTTTTCTTACATCGAAATTCTCTCCTACCACACCTATAATTCCAATTTTTCTGCCACCCCTCTCTATAACGTGGCTTTTTGAGTAAATACCTCGCATGGTAGGCTCTAAAGCATCTACTATGTTTGAAACAATTATGGGGTGTTTGATGGATTTTATATAAGAAACTACTCCGGATATATCATCGTCGAATTCGTGATTACCCAAAACCTATAACTAATGGAGTAATTGGATGTTGCTAATACGAAATTTCATTACCGTTGCATCTATAGGCAATTTATTCATGAATTTTTGGCTGATATTCCAACCCCCTACAGTGTACCAAAAAGTCCCCGTAAACACATCACCCGCATTCAGCACAATAGACTCGGGATTGAGCCTCTTCATGGAATTAATTAGACTGTAAAGTCTGGAGTAACCTCCAATACAAGTCGTGTGATTCCTGCAAATACCTCCATTTGGCTCGGTTTCTTCGTATCTAAAAAATAAATAATTATAAACAAAATTATAATAATCCAGTTCGTGACGTCATGGCCGAGTTATCTTGAGGGTATTGTACCCAATTGGGAGTTTGTTAATGGCACTCACCTGGCGTGGAAATCATTGAAATGTATTATCGATAATGTAACGTTAATATTTTCGGATAAATTCGTTATTTTTCCCTCGATGTTTCGGAGGAAAATAAGCAAAATCGCTTGGTATATGAAGAACATATTTACTGAAATCGAGATACTGTGTTATTATTATTTCGAAACGAACCCACCAATCACCGTTAGATTATCAAGTTTACCGGCAAGGTTGGAATTCTGCTAAAAGAAAACACACTAACAAGAACAGGTAGGTAGATAATAATAAATAAACCCGTTACCTCGAATCTAATTACTTTATTTCCTTATCACAAGCATTTAATTACTATAAGTTATTTGAACGTAATTCTGCCGAATTCTTCTTGAAATACTGGATTATTTTTAGCCAAAAATTCCAAAAGTACAGCAACATCTTTACTACCGACTGTTTTATTGGTCATTTTTTGACTGAAAATTGTAAAACCATCGGTGCCTAATCCCAAAAACGTCGGGACTACTATATTGTAAGATTTCAGCAAATCCAAATTTTCGTAAACCGGCACTGTACACTTTTGGCAACGGATTTTTATAGAAACGGCCCTGTCGCCCTTGCTACGATTTAAATCGTAGACGATTTTAATACCTGAAACATATTTTCTTATGAGCTATTAATAGGTTATAATTGAAGAAGGACCGTGTGACATCAGCGACAATACAACATATAATTTATTTAAATAAAATCCTGCCGAATTCTTCTTGAAATAGCGGACTATTATTCCTCACGTACTCTCTAAGTACGTCCGTGTCCTTTCTGCCTACTTTTCTGTTCCTTGTTTTCTTACTTAAAACCTCGTAACGGCTAGTATTTCTCATCAAATACGAATTAACTACTATATTGTAGTCTCTTTTAGCATCCAAATTCCCATAAACTGGAATGGTGCAATTTTGACAACGTATTTTTACAGATACTACTCGATCGCCCCGATTACGAGACAAGTCGTATTCCAGTTTAATTCCTAGAAGAAACTACACATTAAGCTTTTTTTATATGAAATAAATACACAGTAGGTGATAAATGTGAGTTTGTTGATCATAATCATACCGGAAACTTGGAGTAAGTTTAGACTTCGTGTGGGATTCCCTGGATCGAAATCTTGCACTGCAAGCTCCAATAAAGCTTTGATATCTTGGCCTGTTAGAACGCCGAAATCGAAGGTATTTTCAAACGGTTGGGAAGTTATTAGGGCGTTGTAAGTGATATCTAAAATTTTTTACCTAATTAAATAAATACTATACTTATTATCGCACTATTCTAAACCTCCTGGTTCTATATCAGTTCTGAGCCCACCAGCATTTATAAAACCTATCGCAGCTTCAGTCCAATAAGTTTCGGGTACAACTTTCGTGTACTAAAATTCGATAATTAATAAGAAATTAATATTTTAATTAATTGGTTAATTACGGCGTAAACCATAGCGTCGGTGACGAAATTACCGAGGGAACATTCCTTGTAGTAGCAACCGGTTGTGCTCAATCTCACCAAACTGTTACCAACAATTTGCCCTCCCTCAACATCCACAATGTTTTTCCAATATTGCAGTTCGGCATTGATTGATTCGTCTTAAATAATCGATCGTTAATGCAACGTTAATTCGAGTTTTAATTACCCACCTTGCGGGAAATGGTTGTCCAGGAAAATCGGAGCGCCGGAATAATCTAAAATTTCACCGGCGTCGTCCAGAAAAATCGTTATGTTTCCCAAATATCTGCAGAAGGCCGATGCTTGCGTAACGAGAACTTTGTGACCTAATCTGCTTTCTATTATAGTAGGATAAGGTCCTTCGACGATGGCGGGACCTGGTGGGTTATCTGGAAACAGCAGCAATTGCAAATTCTATAAAAATATGTACAAAATTCTACCTCCAGTCCATAGAAACGTATGAGAATGCGCTCCGACTATCAAACTAATTTTCGAGGAAGCATTACTAGCTATAAGTTTATCGGTTTCATAACCGCTATGAGAAAGTACTATGTTAGTAAAAACGCCTTCTTCTCTCACTAATCGCTCCGCCTCGGCGTTTACACTAGCCGATTCGTCCAAAAACTTCAAATTCTCGCTGTTACAAATAATCTACAAACAATCCTTATAATACACGACATTCTACTATTACTAATCCTTACCGGATAATCCGTAGAAACCACCCCAATTACACCGATTTTCCTGCCGTTTCTCTCTATCACAACGCTTTTGTTGTAGATTCCTTGGAAATCAGGTTCCAGAGAATCGTCTATATTCGAGGCCACAACGGGGTGTTTAAGGGCTTTGATGTAAGGAACGAGCCCTTGAATACCATGATCGAATTCGTGGTTACCAATAGTCTGTAAAATAAAAACCTAAAGGACTATCTGAAGGTGTTTTGTAGCTAGCTCACCTCTGCATCTATAGGTAATTTGTTTATGAATTGTTGCGTAACGTTCCATCTGCCTATGGTGTACCATAAAGTGCCTTGAAAACTGTCACCAGCGTTTAAGAGAATGGATTTAGGGTTTGTTTCCAGCATGGTCATTATCTGGGCGTAGAGCCTGGAAAAGCCCCCCACGCATTTTGTGAGGTCTGAACAAGTTCCAGCGGATAAAGTTGTTGGTTCGAACCTAGGAAATCGTAATTATAATAACGAATAGTGCTGTGATTATTGTCTTACCTTGAGTGGAAATCGTTGAAATGTATTATAGATAATTGGAATGGTGCTGCGCTGTTTTGAGCTGAAACTATTTCAAAAATTAGGTACAGAAATATACACTTTTTGAGAATCATTTTTTTTATTTCTATTATTTTTAATGGATATAATGAAACTAGCGACGCAAGTTTTGGAGATATAATATAAGCGATAATGTTATATTGAACCCATAAAGAGATTTAATTTATTTAAAAATGGATTTGGGCTACATTTTGTTACGACACGGAAATATTTCATTTTATTGCGTAAGTGTTACAATTTGCATTAACTAAATAATTATAAATGTTATTGCTCCAATTAAATTTGCTCTGCATATTTTATGTTTTTACAATTCAATTTAATATGCAATTAGTTTATAGCAGGAGACCGTTTACAACAAGTAAAGAAGACAGACGATAAGAAGAATGACATTTTTGACAACTAGTCAACAAGTTACAATTTTCCAATGTTTAGTTTTAAAATAATGTATTAGAATCAAATAAAAATGAAAAGTGTATATAAGTAAAATAATAAATGCTGTGTTAATTTCTTTTTATTAATTAACGATACCTTTTAGTGAAAGATTTGAGGAGAAATATGATGGAATTTCAAAGAGTAAAGGAATCCCTAACGTGACCATAACATTAGAGAAACGTAAAATAAACGAAAAAATTATGAATAGAGTGACAAAAGAATGCCAGACACCTTTCTTCTATCACAAATTTATCGTACGTAATTATATATTTCTATAAATAATTCATAATTATTGGGAATTTTTAGATTTACGGTGCAGAATCCTATGAGAGAAACTACATTTTAAAATCGATTATGGATTTCGTGTATCCCGCTACATTAATGCCAATTCACTTTCAACAAATTGTAGGCTTGTCGTATTTTCTCGCAAGGAATTGCTTAGACATTATCACTAAAATAGCCAAGGAAAATTTCCAAATACCTCATCATTTGGATACGAAAGCACCTGTAAAAACCGCCATTTTTAATGCTAATATCTCTCTTAATTTTAAGTATTTTTAGTTTAATGTAGTGGTATTAGCCAACTTCATGGTCTCCGAAGAAGTACCTTTACAAGACACGTCTAACAACATAGAAGAAGTCCTACAAAAACGATTCAAAAGAGAGTCTAGAATCCTAAATTTAAATAATTTCAGCGATGATGTTGGTAAATATTTATAGTTTATGAAGTAAACGCTTATGTTAATTATTTTTTTTAGATCTTATCGAATACTTTCCTTTATTTAACGACAAAATCTTTCGCTACGTGATTAATCAAAGCGCCGGATTGGCCCCGAGAAACCTTGATTTAGCGAACAATTACCTCAAAGATATTTCCTCTCTAAGCATTTTAAAAGGCTGTGTCGAGACTTTAGACTTGAGTAACAATGAAGTTAGTATTTTCAATCTTCCACTGCATCAGTATAAATAATAAATTTGTTTCAGTTAAAAGATATAGAAAGTTTATCGAAACTCTCGGAATTCACACTACTCAAGCATTTGATGTTAACCGGAAATCCTTTATGCGAAAACTACAATTCCTACAATTACGTGATAGATGTTAAAAGATACTGTTCGAAATTAGAAACTTTAGTAAGTACATAACGAATTATTCCTCTGGTTTTTAATTATTTTTTGTACAATAGGATGGTGTGGATGTTCGAGTGCCGAGGTTCGAGAAGAATTTCCTCTGCTGTGAAGACGCCCGAGACTTGGCATCCCAATTTCTGGAAAGGTACTTCACTAACTACGATTCCGACAGGATGCTGTTGAAGGATATGTACGATAGTAGTGTTATCTTCTCGATGAATGCTAGTGTTCATTCGAATCAAAAGAATTCGGACTCGGTTAGGTGAATTTATCGATTACAAACCGATTTTAATGTCTCCTAAAATTGTTATTTATCGCCAGATTGGAGCATTATGGACTCGGTAAACCTGATACAACATGTGGAATAACGGAGGTTATGAAGTTGTTTCAACAATTTCCGAAGACTTGGCATGATCCCTACCCGTTGGTGTGCGATGTGGTTATATTTACAGTATGTTAATACATGATTATTATTATTTTGTATTACTTAGATTTATATTTATAGGATACTCGGGCTCATTTGGTGGTGAACGGTATTTTCAAAGAATTAAACCAGATGTTGTTTTTCAATAGGAGCTTCTACTTTAGCCGGAACAGCCAGAGATTTACCATTACAAATGAACAATTACACGTTAGCAATGCGATAGATTACCAAGTTAGTTGGAGTTTTACGTTTCCCGGTAACGTCCATCTTACCAGCACCCCGTTGCCTTATTTCTACCAACAATATAGGCAATTGGAGGAGTTGTTTTGTACATTAACTAATGTAAACTTAGAGTACGCTCAGAAGTATGTGCATCGATGAAGTTTATACGTTTTTAAAGTATATTTTAGCTTACAAATGTTTTAGATGTCTGCTTTATAGTAATTACGATTTGAGGAAGGCGCTCTCTGTATTCTCGGAATTGTTTTTAAAGGATGGTGTACCTAAAGAAGCGTTTACAAAGCAAAGGTAATACTAAAGTTTAGTTCTTATGGATGTTTATTACCTGGTTTATTTTGTAGGAAATTGGAGAATCAAAAGAACAAGTTTCGTAAGTGTTAAGGATTAATAAGGTGTAGGATTCAAATGATTTGTTTATTTTTTATTTATTTCAGCAATTTGTAATGGTTTGAGGGAAAGAGTTTTAGAGAAACATAAAACGATATCGTTGAAAGTGTTGTGGGAAACAATGGAAACTGCACGTTTCGAAACAAATACTGACTCTTCTACGGATTATAAGTTAAATAAATTTTATAAATCATCAATGGATACAAATGTAAATATAACTCATGTGAAGAAAGAAGAATTTAATAAATCTACAGTAGGAGTGTTTGATAAAACAAGTAATATAAAGAGAGAAGAGCAAGATATAACTGTTGTTTCTCCACAAAAACAAGCTGCAAAAAAGCCAAAAGTCCAATATTGGATTTCTCCTGAAGAAACGAAGAAATTTGCTGAAAAGCTCTCATTTTGTATCGAATCATTACTTGCCAAGTCGAAACAAAATACTTCTATAATAGAAACAACAGCAGCTACTTCTACTTCGGTAGGAGATTCATCTCAAGAACCCTCCTCTAATCCTCCAACAACAATAATTCCAAGTCCCGTTGTGGAAATCCCCGATTTACCCTCGACACCATTACCACAAGCGCCTTTAAACGATGAACAGGCGCAAGAAATATCCTCGGAACAATCCGCCATTATCACCTTGGACCAAACCATAAAGAATCTGTGCTGGGAATCCCCTGTACAAGACAAACCGCTGGTCAGAGCGCTCGTGCACAAGCGCATGCTCGAAGAGCGGCGAATAATGCGAACGGGCGCCTTAGAGGAGCTCGAAAAATTGGACAAAATGGACGAATATTGCGCGCTGCAACTGTTTTCCAAAAGAAGTCAGAGGAAATTCTGGAGGATTACGGTGAATCGCAAAACGAAAATCGTAAAAGCGCACATGGAAAAATGCGGTTCTACCCTCGAAGAAGCTCTCTATCACACGTTCGATAAATACTCATTTGCCCCGAATGGGAGATTCCGAGTTCGAAATGAAATCTCTGTATTTACAAACGGCGTAAAAGGTACGTGTGAGCGATTCGGAAATGTAGATCGATCAATTTTCGTTTTTAATTTTCAGTTTCTGCTGGTACTTCGAGCATTTCTTATGTTAAACCGAGTTTGGCTAAGGTGAAAAGTGAACAAGGAATTATAGTCGAGGTGCGTCAGGTAGGAATTTAGCAATGCTTTATTAAAACTAATTTTATTTAGGAGTGCCATGGAAAGAAGGGTTCTGGAAAAAAGAAGAATGCACGAAAAAAGCAGAAGCAGAGTAAGTGTTTAACAAATTTCACGATTGGTTCTAATAATTATATATTTTTAGGGTTATTAAAGAAATGAATCTAGTGATAAGTGGATTTCATGTCCATTGTGGATAGCTTCGATTTATTCGACTATAAAAGACGATGAAAAATCAACAATTTTATTGCAAAATTTGTTAAATTATTTACAGTTTAATATTAAAAAAATTTGTACATTGTGAAAAAAAATAGGGATCTTAAACAGAATAATACAGATCCATCTTTTTTTTTGAAGTGACCCTCGAAGGCAGTTATCGATGCGTAAATTTTTCTAAAACCCATCAAAATAAATACCCACTCGTCCCCGTCAGGCATCCGTTTTTCGATCGTCCTTTCAAACCAATAACACAAAGGAGATCGAACAACAACATCACTTTTTCCTAATTACACAAAAGATCCCGTCGAGATTATACTAATTGCTCGTTGCTGCTCGCCGACAGATCGAGCAGTCTCCAAGCCGCCCTCGGATCCGGCTCCACCACGTCCCTGCACAACACCCACACGTAATTCACCCTCATAACTTTGTCCGGGTCGCCTTCCACGACCGCCCCCGACGCGTCCCGCACGGCCATCACCTGTTGCGATGTAAAAGAAATAATCAACACAGGCCCTTGATCCATCACTTTGCCCATCATCAAATCCACGTGGTCTACATCCAGGATTTTCGACTCGATTTTATAGCCTTTCTTGTAGGCTTCCTTGATGGGTATGGCGAATAGATTGAAGGGTCCTTCGTGACACCAGTCTTTCAGAACCTCGAGGTCTCCTCGTGTCATAGCTTCGAGTACGTTAGGGATGATGTCGGTTTCGCATTGTTTTAGGAAGCGTTTCGTATCGAAGTCCGGGTCGATTTTACAGATTTCCGTTAGGGTTTCGGAGAGTTCGGTTTTTTGGAATAAGCCGCCCATGATGTCTCCGACTTTTTCCGTGAGCGCCCTGGAGGCTCGGATGATGGGGTTCTCGCTTTCGTCGAATTTGAGTTTCCAGTCCATGACTTTGTGCACGTACGGGTTGTTGTTTTTGAAGTTCTGCCAGGATTCGTAGAATTTGGAGTCTTTGTGGAGTTCCACGCCTGTGGCGTCCGTGTTGGGTTCGTAGTATTTCTGTTGGACTACGGCGCTGGTTTCGGTTCGTTTTCGGAGCTTTTTAGGACTGACATACACTCGACCTTAAATGTAAATTGGTTCAAATGTGCTCGCGTACTGTTATGTAATGTACAAACCTTCCATGCTGGTGTTGTCGATTTCTTGTTTGACGGCTTTGGTGGCTTCCGATATGCTTTGAAACGCTCCGGTTTTGCTGATTTCTTGTGCGGTTTCGCTGATTTTGTGGGTAGTTTTTCCTACTTCTTCGGTAAACTTACCGGCCTTCTTGGCTAAATCCGATTTACTGGCCTCGTCTATGACGCCTTTGACTCGATCTTTGATAGAACCTAAACTCTCTTTGAACACTTCGCCGCCTTTACTGGCCTCTTTCTCTACGGTTTCGAACTTCTGCCGGGCAGCTTTCAAAGCGTCGCTTTGCTCCAATTTTTGCGCTTCTTCGCGGAATTTCTTCAGCGACTCTTTCATTTCTTTGTTTTTGTTCATTTCGTCCTTGAAATTGTCGTACAATCGGCTGAGAAACGACGATCTCTTGGCTGGTTCTCTCGAGTAATAACGCACCTGAATACATGTAAACGATATTACGTAATTAATCGAGGTAAGTAAATTGTGTTTACGTACCGCATTTTTGAGGGTATAACCAAACGAATATCGTTGTAATCCATACATTTTATTAGATATATTCCTAAAAGATCACGTTTATGACATTAACATAACCTAAAACACTGGGAAGAAAAGTAGTTGAAATTACTTCTATGAAATGAGTATAAATTGTACGGTAACTATCTAATTTCTAATGGAGATAAATAACAAGAAAAGTTGTAAAAAAAACTTATTTTTCTGACATTTTTGTTGACCGGAACGACTGAAGTAACTGAAGTTTGACAAGGCAAAAATGACCGAAAACGAAAAGAAAGGTTAAGTGAAGTAGGCTAACGTGAAGTTAGCTACACATTTATTTTTGACAGTATGTGTCACTTCGAAATTATCAAACGTCACAGTAATCAATCAAAAATTTTTCGGAATCGATTTAAATTCATCGATTATAGAGTATAGTTGGCAGTGTTGTCAAATCTAATGGGTTTTCTGTAGATTGTTATATTTTTTAAGTTGATAATTATTATCTGTCACTGTTCTATAAACTTCAATTTTATAATAATCTGTCTTATAATTTATTTTATACTTTATTTATAGCAGTACGTCAAGATGAATTTTATGAGTTTATTTAAAGAAAAAAGTGGTATTTTAAACATTTTTAAAAGATACAAGGTAATAATAATTCGCTTTTTATAATCAGTCATTATTTAATGCCTAAAAAATTCTGTAATTTTCTGTAAATTTAATTTTCTTAAAAGTGCCCTGCCTATCGACAAACGCGTTTGATATTCCAACCTTGCAATAAATCGCATGTGTATCGGAGTAAATAAGTTTGCTCGAGAAAGTATGAGTATGTTCAAAAGCACTTTCAAAGTTAAAGTGTTTTGTATTTACCTATCTAGCCAATTCACAACCGTCTATATACCCTGCATGTTTATTTAGCATCGCTTAATACAGACTGATAAAAAGACCACGCTCGCAACTTTCTAAAATTCCCTTAAAACTATCTCCATCGAGAGCACTTAGCGTATCTTCGCGCAAAAAACTCCCCAACCGGACTTGTAAATTAAACGCGGGTAAAACTTTCGTTTTAGAGCAAACACAAAATATACTCTCACATATACGATTGCGTCGTCGTCGGAGCCGGCGGAGCGGGTTTAAGGGCCGCTTATGGTCTGGTGCAAAAGGGCTTCAAAACCGCCTGCATCACCAAAATTTTCCCCACCAGATCCCACACAGTGGCCGCCCAAGGAGGCATCAACGCCGCCCTAAGTACCTCCGCTAATTACCAACCCCTTAACAGATTAACCAGAAGGGTTTTTGTAACCAGGTCACGCCGAAAACGATTGCTGGCTGTGGCACAATTTCGATACAGTAAAAGGCTCCGACTGGCTGGGCGACCAGGATGCCATCCACTACATGACCAAAGATGCCCCCAGGGCTGTTCTGGAGCTGGAAAACATCGGATTGCCCTTCTCCAGGAACAAAGACGGAAGGATTTATCAGCGAGCTTTCGGCGGGCAATCCTTGAAATACGGCGAAGGCGGTCAAGCTCACAGGTGGATGAGCTTTCGTATCGATTAAATACGATTTAAATTGTTTTATTACAGAACTGCAGCAGCCGCAGATGCTACCGGTCACTACATGCTGCACGCCCTCTACGGACAAGCCGTTAAATACAAAGTGAAATTTTTTATAGAATATTACGTGCTCGATTTACTCATGAACGGTAACGTTTGCAACGGCGTACTAGCGTGGAATTTAGACATGGGAACGATACACAAGTAAGTAAAAAATTCACTTAAAGTTAAGTTCCATAATGCCTCGACAACGGGCCTACCATTAACGCAACAGACCCTTTATAAATTATTAACAGTTTGGCGGAAAATGTACTCACGAACAAACGCCCGTAATCCTTTATGAATTAAAGTCGGCGTATACCGCTTCAATGGAAACACCCCGTCCCGGCTCGAAACGCCCCGGCTCATTGTGACTGATTCCCAAATTACATAAATAAACACATAAATCCCGCCATAACGATCGCCCCGACCGTCGTCGTGAAAGTCATCTTTAATCCCCCGCCAAAGCTCGCACCTCTGTGCAACCCGCACGTGCTTAGGGACCAGAGATGATTTCCCGTCCAGGACCGGCTCCGGCCCATCCTGAGCCCCGCAGCGGAGCTCGCGCGGCGAGCGAGACACCGAACAAAATCGTTAAATCGCTCTATATGTAGGTGTTTAAGTGTTTAACGCGGATGTGGAGATAGGTGTAATGCGATTCCGAAAGAGCCTCGTTAAGTCGTCGACGGGGCCTCTACCTATGCGAGTCGAGAGGTTCATTAAAGCGTTTCTAAACGCCGATGGACCGTTTAAAATCGGCTCGGATGGCAACTTTATTAGCTGGTGTCCGTGTATGTGTATCGTTAAATCTCGAGTTACTGGGTTGATAAGGATCCGATTGAAGAGGTCAAATGCTTATAATGGTAGGAAGATAAGGGAGGTTGAAGGGTTTGGTTTTATTTTTCTATAAGATGATGATATTTTATATTCATTTATGTAGTAGTAGTGAAAAATAATACTGCAAAACTCCAATGTAGAGAGTTCTAAATCATTCTAAACATTTATTAATAATTCTAGTTCTAAACGGTTAAATTTAATCAAACTATAAACCCTTTAGAGTGCATCTTTTGGAAATTCCGAAGAACATTATTCTTGATAGAGCGACTGAAATATTCAACAATCCTTTAAAAACTGACCATAAACCAGTTTATCGAATTAGCAACGGGCCGCTTCGCTAAATTTCCGCGTCCTGCTCTGCCTTCAATTTTCCGTTCCCTGCTAAAATATTGACGAAGACCATTAGCAGTAGTTTTAGATAGACGTATAATCCTATTACTCTAGTAGAGATCGCATCGATCCTTTTTTCCCCTTGTAATTCACCCGCCCCCGTTTAAATCGACGCGAATTAAAATCAAACAACGGACAAATAAAATATTTTACATCGCAGGTTCTACGCCAACCACACTATAATAGCCACCGGCGGCAACGAAAGGGCCTATTTCTCCTGCACGGCGGCGCATTCGTCCACCGGAGACGGCACGGCGATGGTGACCAGAGCCGGGATTCCCCTGCAAGACTTGGAATTCGTGCAATTCCACCCTACCGGTAATTTAATTTCGAACAAAACGATGTATATGCCGAATTTCTCGAACTCGCAGGCATCTACGGTTGCGGCGTTTTGATAACGGAGGGCGCGAGAGGCGAGGGCGGCTTCCTGCTCAACGACAAGGGCGAGCGCTTCATGGAGAAGTACGCTCCAAAGGCGCGCGATCTCGCCTCCAGGGACGTGGTGTCCCGGTCCATGGCCAAGGAGATACTCGAAGGTCGAGGTAAATCGACTCTGAGGACGAAAATATACACGAAACTTTCTATATTCGGATTGGTTCTTAAAAGGTTGCGGTCCCAATAAGGAGTATATTCACTTGCAATTGAGCCACATACCGCACGAGAAGATCATCAAGCAACTTCCGGGTATCAAGCAGACCGCCTGGGATTTCGCTGGAGTGGATATTTTGAAGCAACCCATACCGATCGTTCCTACTGTGCATTATGCTATGGGCGGTATACCCACGAATTACCAAGGACGCGTCAAGACGCAGGTAAATATTATTTTAAGGATCTACATGGGTGCTCGATGCTCGATTTCAAAAGATCTACAGCCACTTGAATGATACTACTTTGATACAGCACCCTATTTATCTTGCTCAAAAGAGGTGTATAATCGATTTTTAAGGATCTACAGTTAATAGATATTTCGCCCTATACCTTTGCACCCTTTTGACTACTATCTTAGTATAGGAATGCAGGATTATTACAGGTGTTTCCAGTTTGATTAACCCTATAATCAATGTAATGCGATATCGACGAATTACCGGCGGTGAGCGTTAAGATTACCGGAATTTGTCACGAAGGAGTTGGATGGTGTCGTCAGAAACTCCTGCGACAAATTAGATTAGATAAGCCCCTGAGCAAATTACTCGTAAACTCCGTTTCTCGCTCTGTATACATGTATGTATTTGCGAATGCGTTCGGGTGCAATAAATACGAATTTACGTAATTCTCGAAGAGCTTTATCGGTCAATGACGGAAAGCCGAGTGTTTTTTATGCTCGAAGCAGATTTATGGCCTTCGGGCGGGGTTGCAGTTCAATACGCTCGTTTGTCATTGATGTTTTTCAAAATTGCCACTTTCAATTAATACTGCTATTCGATTGTAAAAAATAGCAGAAGGTTTTATTAATTTTTATTAGTAGGTCATTGAATTGATAGAGGAGAATGTTCGGTTTTTGATAAAAATATTGTCCGATATTATTTTTATTTAATGATTAGGTGATGCATCTAAATGGTGTATAGAAAATGAATCTTTTTGGAATGTTTTCTTTGCATGGAGGCAACTACTCTCCAGGACATCCTTCCTTTGGCTTCTTTCAAGGAATCCTCTTTGAAGGAATCATTTTTGAAGGAATTATCTTTCAAGAAATCCCCGTTCAAGAAATCCTATCTCAAAAAATCCTCTCTCAAAGAATCCTCTTTGAAGAAATCCTCTTTTAGGGAATCCTCTCTCTTAACGAATCCTTTTTCAAGTATCCTCTTTTCAAGAATACCCCGTCAGGAAAACCTCTTTCAAGGAATCCTCCTTCGGGAAACCCTCCTTCAACAAATCCTCTTTCAAACACATCCTTCCCTCAGCACCTTTCAATAAATCCACGTTTGCAGATATCCTTTGCTAGTCTACTGCATCCTTCCAAAACGAGTCCACCCTGTATATGACAGCTATAAATTTCCGGCCGCGTCGAATTTCGAATTTTCCGGCTGCATCGCCGGATTATAACGGACACGACGTTGGGGGATTTTTGTCACCTGCGTCGATGTTCCCGATTTCCGGAATTACACTCTCCACGTATTGTGCGCCTGTTCCAGGTGGACGGCAAGGATAAATTCGTCGAAGGATTGTACGCTTGCGGCGAGTGCGCCTGCGTCTCCGTGCACGGCGCCAACAGATTGGGCGCCAATTCGCTGCTGGAGACCGTCGTCTTCGGCAAAGCCATCGCCGACGTCATCGACAGGCTCGATGCACCAGGAAATACCATTTGCGTTTGCGAGGTGACCATTTTAGTTCGAATTTTTGCTCGTAAAGGTAGAGGGAATCGTTTAGAATACTGTAAAATTGTATCGACCTGGGAAGCCCTATGAAGATGGTGTCCAAAATATAGACATTTTTTTTCTTTTAGAGGGTTTGTGGAAAAATTACAAAGATACTGGACACCATCTACAACAACTTTACCCTCTATTTTTAAGCACATTAAACACCCCCGAAAGTTTCTCATTATATCCTAATAAACAATCGTTCGAACGATTTAGAATTTGGGCGAGGAGTCTCTGGAAAACTTCGAAGAACTGCGAATGGCGAGCGGCCGTCGGACCGTCGGCGTGGCCCGATTGGAACTCCAGAGAACTATGCAGAAGTACGCCGGAGTTTTCCGAACCGAAAAACTACTGTCGACGGGTTGCAAGAAGGTCGGACAACTTTACAATCGATTGAAAGAAGTCGGGGTAACGTTACACATTTTTTATTCTCCACGGAAATTTCATCGCTAGATACTTTATTAAACCTGATTATTTGATGATAAATGAATAAATGAATGAATGAAATAATGAATGAATGGATGAACCCGAAATAATTCTAGATAATAATAATTAATTCAACGTTAAGATCGGACGGTGATTGCCGTCGAGCATCTTAAAGGTATTAGGTGCGGTAAAGGTGGGGGCGGCGGCGGCGGCGGAGGCAGCTTGTTTGTGCCGGAATATTCCCGTAAATGTGAATAAATCATGATGCCCGGCTCGGAGTTGCACGTTGCAAATGCGGCCGCGTCGGTGCATCGGTGTAACGGCAGGTGACAGGTGACAGTTCTGACGGGGCATCGTTAAAACGATGAAATGACGGATGGGGGCCCCGTTTTATATATAACGATACGCGCGGATGTGCGCCTTGAGGGATTTATCGGAGTCGCCGAAAACTCCACGATCGTGTAATAATGGTCGTCATTACTTGTTTGTCGGGCGATACGATGTTCTGTTACGTTTTAAGATAACTCTGTACGGTGAAATTGGAAGCTTCGTTATATAGGGTGTTTCTGAAATAAGTGGTCAAACTTTGGGAGGAAGTAGAGAACCTTAAAATATGAAACTTAAATGTCATTTTATCGAAATGTTAAGTTTTTGAAACAATTAATTTCTAGATTTTTAAAGATGTTAATATAGTTTAATAATTTTGTGTATTAGAATTTTTCCTTAAAACGGTTCACTTTACGGAAAATCAACAAGTATCCTATTTTTATGTAGAAAATTTCATTTTTTCAAATTCTTTAAACAAATCAACAGAAAAAGTTAAAATAATAAAGTTAGGTTAGAATTATCCCACGCACCCCCCATTTTAACCCACCCCTGGACAACTTTTTTAAGTTTGACCACTTATTTCAGAAACACCCTGCATATACAGGGTGTCCAGGAACCAGCGAGTACGGAAACGGGTTGAATTTTGGTCAATTTTTAGTAAAATTTAGTCAAATTTGACTGAAATTCGACCGTTTCCACACTTCTTGAACATCCTGTATATATTTTTTATTTGTTTTTCGGTAAGAAACGCGTCGCCTTTGTTGTATTATACCTATAAAATTTTTATAGCCCGGCTACAAATGGCATTTGCATACGGAACGACTTTGTTTTTGTTTATTAAAATTTATATACCAAACGATTTGGTGTACTTTAGTCATTCGATCTTTTATAGGACGCTTCTCGCTGCGCGAGCTTAATTTATCGTGTATTAATTTTTTTTAAGATCAAAGACAGGGGATTGATTTGGAACACCGATTTAGTGGATTCGTTGGAATTGCAAAATTTGTTCATCAACGCCATACAGGCCATCAATGCTATGAAGAACAGGAAAGAGTCGAGAGGGGCTCATGCAAGGGACGATTTCCCTGTAAGTATGCCACATTTTTCCAAAAATAATAAAAAAATGAACAAATCGAGTAGTGTATAAACGCGTAATTGCCAATTTTTTTGTCGTTTCACCAAACCCGATTTCATCTATTTCATTTTTCCGCGGCCGCGCGCCTATTTCCCCGATCAAATTTTCCATGAAAATAAATAACAAGCCGCTTCCTCGCGAACGGGGCGCCGACAAAGGGCATAAAAAGCAAATAATACTTATAAAAGACCGACCCTCGAACTTAAATATGCACCCTCGAATTTTAGCCGTGATGTTCATCTGTCTTGGGTTGTGATTGTACATCCTCTTTCCACCGGCGCCCGCGGGGTGAAACGGGGCGCTTCGGACAGGATTAGCATATTTTAGAGGAATCGCGTGAGGGGATATAGTGTGTCATTTTTAATCAAACAATGTTCCCCGGCGAATGAATGTTAAATTCAAATACTATTGTGCTTTATTAAAAACGAAGCGTCATCAATTTCGCTCTATTTATTATGATTTATGCGGCAAAACATCCTGTATGTAAGTTCAGGTGTTTATTCTAATGCGATTTATCTTCGTAAACGTACGAATAAATTCGAATTAGCGTCGCTCTTTTTAACTCTATTTGTATAGTAGTTTCGAAAAGTAGCTTTATTAAAGCTCCGTTTACGAGATATCGTAATTCGTAATTTCGCTTTCGTTTAATATAGTTTCACGAACTTTCCCGCTAACTTTTGCTAGTTAGTTAATTAACTTAGCGGCGTATCGTTTGCAGAAAAGAATGGACGAATTTGATTATTCGAAGCCCATCGATTGCCAGGAGAAGAAGCCCATCGAGAAGCATTGGCGGAAGCACACGCTCACCTGGATGGATCTTTGCAGCGGCAAGGTAGTAAAATTTCCATTTCGATCATTTCCAGAAGTGGGATTAGAAAATTGCGGATCAGAAGTGGGACCGCGGAGATTCCGGGAAATGTAAACAACGTTTGCTTTTATTTCCAGGTCAAATTTACATACAGAAAAGTAAACGATTTTACTTTAAACGAAAAGGAGTGCCCCTTCACCCCGCCTAAAATCAGAGTTTATTAACCGATTTATTTATACAATGATATTTTTTTTAATAAAACGTGCACAATATTATTTGTTTTATTCACTATATATGAATATAAATACATACTAAAAAAACTGTTACACATTAGGTAGGTATGTAAGTATCCTTTTAATTCTAATAGTTTATAAATAAATAAATTTTTAATCCCGCATTTAGGTCCGGCGCCTGCCAGTTACAATCAGCAAAGCAGAAAAGGGAAACATTATTTAATTCCCTCACCTGTAAAATAAGCTCCCCGGTGCCCATAAAAGGAATCAAAAAGCGCCGCGCTTTAGACCCTTTCCAGGCCAATACACGAAAATATGTACGGACATACATTAGCTCGGCTTATAAAGGATTAAACGGGGGCGACGGGATTTTTCTAATGTCTCCAATCCTCGAGATAAAACTACTCCGGTACAATTAGCGACCGTTTTCGTGCGCGCAACGCATCCGAAATTTAATTAGATTCGGACCTAAATTCGTCATTACGGTTTAATTAAACTTTATTTTCGAAATCTAATTATAATCTAATCAAGGATAATTCGCTCGGAATCCGGATTTCGCTCTATCGCACACGCCCACTATACATTTTATTTCGGCTTTTAGAATTGCTGGAATTTTGTCGTATGTAATGTGCACAGGGTGTCCCAATTATTTAACCTATAAATCAAGGATAATGATGAACAGCATGGGGAGCAATTATATTGCGCCTTGTTTGGGACACTCTGTATATATTTTTTTTTACTATATATTGGACCTTATCTGATTGTTATTTGGTGCGCGTTGGATCCCTATTTGGCCCTATTAAATAGCCGAATTGCCCTCGTCGAATACCGCACGCCACTCCATATGAAAAGGGTGTAAAAAAATCGTCTCATTGTATGGGCGACAATGGGGAAAACGGGGATCGTTAGTGAATAAAACGTGATGGTCCGTTTGTCGATGTACTGACGCAACTAAGATAATCACGTCCCGGCGCCCTTTCAATTACACTCTCAACAGATGCGATTAAAACGATTTCTGGTGTATATGCGAGTATAGTTATCGGTTCTGCCGACTCCCTACGTTTCGTTTTTTTTCTTTATTATTATCTCTTTTTCCAGTAGGAAACTTTGGATGTTTTTATGAGATTATAGGGTTGTTTATTATTAGTTACATAATCGATATGTTATTATAACTTTTCTACTTTATGTTGAGAATATGTAGGTAATTTCATGGTAATAAATTGGAAATAGATTTCTTCAAATTTGTTGTTTGTTTTATGATGTCCATGTTCTCATTAGATTACGTTACGAAAACACAACAAATATTCTTTTAATTAAATTGTTCGACCTGAAAACTCGTTTCCTTCACTTACTTTCTTTTGCAAATTCCTAAATTCCTTGAAGTTGAGAAACTACAAAGCTTCTGCAAAATATCCAGATACACTTTAAAATCTCGTTTTCCTGCACTTTCTTTTTTTGTGCAAATTTTTAATTCCTTCTTCAATCTCAACATAAAGTTAGCTACAAAGCTTCTGGAAATTTACAAGAATATGCACCCAAAAATCTCGTTTTCCTGCACTTTCTTTCTTCTCCTGCAAATTCTTTATTCCTTTCTCATTCCTAATTCAACATTGAGAAGCTACAAAGCTTCTGCAAATCTCCAAGAGCTCTGTTATACACCATAAAATCACGTTTTCCTGCGCTATCTTTCTCCTATTGCAAATTTTTAATACCTTTCTCATATTCTTCAATCTCAACATAAATTTGAGAAGCTACAAACCATTCTCAAAGCAAATTTCGAGAATCCCCGGAAACCCCCGACGAGGGGCGTCGCGAGCGGGCCTGAACTCGCATGAATCGAAGCTAACGATCTGGTTTCCCTAATCTATTCGCCGATTGTCCGGGGTCAGGTTCATTACGTTAACGTTAACGTTACGTAACGGATCAAAGGACGCACACACCGAGCGGAATACCAAAAATGATCTCTTATTGTCAATTGGGGCTCAGACGATTGGCACAGTCAACGCCTGCGATCTCGAGCGCGGATCGGGCCCGAGAAAACTCCGGCGATTCCGGTTCAGTTTCGACGCGACGACGGTGGAACGCGCGCGTCCCGACGCCCGGCTGGATACGCTTAACGCACGCGATATATACCTGCGCCCAGAGCGAAGTCGCCGCGAAGTTCGTGAAGTTGTGAGTTTGCACTTTGCACGAGGTAAGAATCTTTTTATGCAGCCAGATAAAATACCCCGGCGGGAGTTTAACGAGGCAGTAAAGTTTCCGGGCGTAAACTATTTTCGCGGAGTTCTTAATTGTATTTAAGAAACTGTTCGTTGGATTCGTTCGATGGGCGACGAGCAATGGAAATTCGGGAATCCGAAACACGGTTAAATTAAATGTTTGTCGGAGCGAAAAAACCGATTACGCTGTACTTAAATGAGAAATATAATAACGCTCTTGGAGAGGCGGAAGCCGGAGAAATTGACGCGAATAAAAACTTAATCGCCTTAAGAAACTTCCCGCCGGAAAATTCTTTGTTTCCGGTCCCTTTACGCTTCGTTTTTCTGCTATAAATCCAAAAACAAAGTTTCTAATTTTTAATCCATTTCACATTCAAATCGAATTAGTCATTTCCGTCGAAGCAAATAACGTTTTCATATTAATTAAAATTAATTAGGAAACTTCGCGAAAAAATCGCATTAAAATATAAATTCGTACATTATCTTCCCTAATGAAAAAATCTCCCCTAAAAAAAATTTTACTCAATTGATCGAGCAATGTATACGATCAAAGCGAAACCAATTGCCTGTACACAATAGTAATTCGAGTAATTTTCACTTGTCAGGATCATATTTGATGAATAATAAACGTCAGCGATTTCGAAACGGCGCCCGACACACCAATAAGTCCGGCTGATTAACCGGCAACGTTTTATTGGCCGGTAAAAATTTTCAATTACATTTTTCCGCACGACATTCGTGCTCGCGCCCGGCGCTTTTCTCCGACGAAAGTTCTCTTTTACTTTTCTTTCGGGTTGACAATCGAAAATTACGGTGTCAATTCGGCCCGGAAAATCTTCTCCCTCCCAATTATTATAATTCGTTTTCGACGCCGTTTCGAAACTTTTTCAACTAATTACTTTTTTAATCTCGAACGTCTCGATTAGAGCTCAGTCGGATTTTTCGGGATGGAAAATTCGTAGTTTATGACGGGCTAAGGCTTTTGGAGAAATTTGACATTTAAATGACAGATAGTTACCCATATAAATATTTTATGACATTCACAGCTAACTTCTCAATTATTACTTACAAATTTAATGTCAACGTCAAATTGCAATCGGACACTAAAAGGAAAATATCCCTTTAGCTATTTATGGTATATAATATTAATCTTTTTTAATCTCACTCATCAAGTCATCACTTTGTTAAACAGATTTTTCAGGATAAAAAATATACAATTTATGACGAGCTAAACTTTTAGTTAAATTTGACATTTAAACGACAGATTTATCAACATAATTTTTTTGACATTCACAGCTCACAGCCAACTTTTCAATTAAATAATAAGTTATGTCAACATTAGACACTATACAGATGCAGTTACCAATTACTTATGCACTTTCCGAGCCATGAAATTCTAATGCAAGAACGCCGCAAACAACCATGAAGGAAATAAAAATAAATCCCCATTCATGGTATATCCAAATTTACTCGATGCTGTCCCGACTAGGCTACATTATAAACGAGTTTAACCGCGACTCGCTTAAATCCAATTTTCGAGACGAAGTTTAAATAAATTTCGGTTAAAGTCTGATTTATATCTCCATCGGGGAGCTCATTAATACGCCCGCTCGGAGTTTTTCATATGTCATATGTAATTTACCGCCGAATTTCCAATACAAATTTCCAATCGGAAAGAAAAAAATATCGCATAGGTGGCGTTGCAAACAATTTGTCACCTGTCAAACGAAGCATTTAACTTGGTAATTAACATTTGCGGATTATTCGGGGATGTATCTAAATGGAAATTGAAATGCTCCCTGAATAATTTCGCTCGGTCTCTCAGTCCTTCATTAGAGGTATCGTGCTTAATTTTTGAGCAATTACTTGCGATAAATCATTCGGAAAGGAGAGCCAGAGGAACCCTATGGTGAAATGTAATCCCTCCGGGCCCGGTCATAATAGATTCATCTCGACTCCCAACAGAGGGGTTGCTTCGATACAAAAAAACTTTTACACCTAATCATAAATATTAGCGATAATAGAGCTAATCTAACAATCAGCTTTTATACTTTGACGCACGTCACTTGTATCATCGAACGTAACATCGGACCTCTCCCTTTAAAAGGAACTTATTTCAATGACCTATAGTTTAGCGTGAATCATAGGGTGCTGTGAAATTGGTGATTTTTGCGACAATATGGCGGTGTTTGCATCAAAATGGAGTTTGTTTAATTGAATATTGTTACATTAACGGAGTAACGCGCTTAAATTTGGAGCGATTTAAGTGAAAAACTTTTATCGCACTTACCGCACGGTAAGTACCGCGAGAAATGGAGGCTCCAACGCCAGAACTCAAACCGGCGCAGGAAGTTTACGTTTTTGTTTGAGTAATTCCGAGCCGAAACCGTGTTATAGAATAGACACCACACAAAATTTCATTTAAACTGACATTACGAAGTTGATAGTTTACGACGCAGGTCTAGGTATACGTTGGTACATATTAAGTAATTAAGTTAAAAGTTTAGGAAATGCAGGGCGCTGTATTAGGATTATCCGGCCCGTTGCAGGAGCAATAAAATATGGAAGTGCTAATTATTCTCTCTCGGATTAACTTTTTAAGAAGAAGGCTCGTGTATGTACTGACGTTTTAGTGCGTAATTGGTTTTAACTGCGGCTTGAACTCCACTCGGGCGTATACAAGCAGCATTTTAGATGGAATCCCAGAAATTAATTACGCTGTATATAAAAGGTTTCTAAGATGTATTACTAAAGTTTTAATTGAGTTCTATTCGCGGCAATTACATTGTTACACGCCTTCGTAGTTAATCTAATAATTAATTAAACGTTCTGATTTTTGAGACTACTTTTTTTTTTACTAGATATTCAGAAGTGGGATTAGATTTTAACGGTTTCGGACAAAAGTCCCTTTTATGTAGCGCGTTTGACAACTTTATCGAGCCATTTTTCGACGGAAATTTCGACCGAATCATTTAAAAGTTTTAATTAACATCGCATTTACATCGAAATCACCCGCTCGTTTCAAATTAACTCGATAAAAAATGCATTTGCGCTTTGTTAATGCATGTCTACTCGATTTGCGAATTCGTTTGAACTACGTTCGTCAATTTAGGTTCTCAAACAACGCAAGTTTTTGCTACTAGTAGGCGATGTGGCAACGTAGCAATTTTTAGCCAACTTGATTGGTTCGCAGAGTTTCTAGTTTGCAGGAGACATCGCGACGTAGTGTTTACGGAAGTAATATAAAAAGCTCGTCTTGTTAATCCGATTTGAATTAGGGTTTTTTCTTTGTTAATTTTCCGCCATTAAAGCGGTCCTTTGTGTCAGAAATGCCGGGCTAACCCGTTGCGAATCCGGACGTACTTTTTTCGGATTATTTTTCAATCTAGATTCGAAACGGTTGCGAAAACACCGCATTTGCATAAAATGTTGTTCTTCCATAAAACATCTCGATGTCGTTTTGCTAAAAAAAAACCAACGCAAAAAGGATTTTTTATCGGATAAAAATGCCCCGAATGAAATTGGATTCTCCTACCCTATAGGGACACCCTGTAGGGCATCAAGACTCGCTAATTTAACAGGTATTTCATCAAATTAATTATCGATATTACCTATTGAATATCGAATTTCGACATTAATTTAAAATCAAATCCTCTTAATCATGTTGGGCAAAACTATGTTGAGCACAGAATCATTACAACATAAATCTTCAGCTTTAAACTGCAAATTGCAGTAATCCATTCCCGAAACAAAACTGTAATGAATGCTTTATCTGGAAACTCCTGCTAATGATTCATTAAAGCGATATAGCCTCGTGTTTTCACTAATGGTTTATTTTATTATTCCAGATAAACTTTTCATTTATTACCAGAAAGAACGAGTTAAAGTTATACCAAGAAATTTCGCCGGTGCACAAATGAACTTTCGTTTCTACACAGAACGATAACGATGAAAAATTAATAACCTTTCTGTAGCTAATTAAATGGGGTAATATTGGCGTTCGTGTTAATTTTCATTTTTTTTTAATGCTGGTGCATCGAATATTTGTAGCGTATTTTCAAACTAATGATGTAACGTTTGTGCTTTCCAATATTGTTTCAACAATGCATGAAAACCTTTACGTTCGTTTGTGCATTAATTGTTTTATTATAATTATTTGTCGGACGAAACTTTTTGCTGCGTTTAATAGATTGTTATTTATATTGTTGAGGGAGAAAATTGGGTGGTCTTTGTACGATTGTTTTCAGTACTAGAATCCCTCGTTTTATTTGCAATAATTTAATTCATCTAATATTAAATGGATGATAAAATATACAGCGTATTTTCTGGAGAGCTTGTTAAAATAAACCGAATATTTTGCATACAGTGGATTCTTCTTTTTCGTGCGGTGTGTTTGTTTTGGAGAAATGTGCTTTCAGAAACATGAAACCCCAATATTTATGCACAGAAATATTGTTTTTCTTCTCCTAATATATTGTTACAATTTTAGGTAGGTTTGCGCGTAAGAATACATGTTAATTGAACATTCCGATTTATACATTATTTAGCATACACATTTAAATTGGAGCGAATAAAGAGTACCTAACACTTAATTATTGCTACATGAATAAATAAAGCATTTTCAACGATCTCTATATAATTGGCTATTAAAAGTTCATTCGACTCTAAGTATGCTTAGTACCAATTATTTATATGTACTCACGTAATTGGATAATAATTCGAATTTTCAACAATTAGCGAATTATATTCACAACGAATTAAACCTTCGGTATCCCCCTGAAAAACTCTAATTTACTACACGCTACGTTAAATTCAATTCTCCAACAATCTATAACTACGTTATATTAAATATCGTCTTATTGCGAATTGTCTATTTTCAATTTTCCGAAATTTATGAAACACAAATCGAAGACGAAGTTTGCTCGTTCGAGCGAAAATTTTCGCCTATATACGCCCTTCATTTTCTTCTCATTTT